TCTCCAGTTATCGCACTGACTAAGATCTCCTTTCTTAGGTACTGTGATTATAAGCCCCTTGTTCCAGTCATCAGGAAACTCTTCTATCGTCCAGATTTTTTCAAAAACAGGCGACAGGACGTCGACAGCGCAGGATAAGTCGGCTTGAAGCATTTCCGCGGTTATCAAGTCGAGTCCTGGTGCTTTGCCTAATTTCAAGGAGCGGATGGCTTCAGCAACTTCACTAGCTGTTGGAGTCTCCGTGTTGATGTCAAGTAGCCGAGGTGGTGAGGAATTAACAGCTAGTGCGCAAGGTGTCGCTGTAGCCGACATGCGAAAGACCTCCTCAAAGTGCTGACGCCAGCGAAGCAGCTGCCCTTCGGATGTTGCAATGAGCTGACCGTCTTTAGACTTCAGTGGCTTTTTCTTTCTAGGCTTGTTGTTACCTGTCAGGGTTTTTGTGGCCTTATATAGCTCTTTTAGGTTCCCAGCGTTTGCAGCCTGTTGAGCGTGATCAGCAATACCGTCAGCCCACTGTCTCCTATCTTTGCGGGTGCTGCGATAGATTTCTTTCCGCTTTTGACGATACTGTGCGTTCAGGTCGGCTCTTGTAGCGTCATCCTGGGCCTCGAGCAATCTCAGGTGAAGCCTTCTTCTGTCCTCAATCAGACTCCATGTATGCTGCGACATCCACTCTTCCCGCCAATGAGCCGTTCTGTGCCCCAGAACGACGAAGCTGGTCTCTGTATAGACCACTTTGATACGATTCCACTCCTCGTCTAACGAATCCCGGGCCGTATCAAGAGCAGCAAAACGATTGCGTAATTCGAGACGGAACAATTTACGCGTCTCGTGGTTATTCAATTTGCCGACCTCAAATCTTCTTCCGACCCTGCCAGTGCGTCCAGGTTTACGGGCTACAGCAACCTTGAGCCGAACTTCAGCAACTATGAGATGGTGGTCGCTATCAATATCGGTGCCCCTGCGGTTGCGGACATCAAGTAAGGAGGAACGCCATTTGGAGCTTATGGCAAGATGGTCAATTTGGTTCCTCGTGACGCCATCGGGTGACTTCCACGTGTACTTGTGGTGATCGCCATGATTAAATAAAGTTCCCCCGATGGTCAGATCATGGTTCTGGCAGAACTCGATGAATCTCTCTCCGTTCTCGTTGCACACTCCAAGTCCCTGCGTGCCCATATGCCGTGTGCGGTTTGTGTTGTCAGTCCCGACCTTTGCATTCAGGTCTCCCATGACGATGACGATATCTTGTTTCTTTATTCGCCTCAGGGTGGCGTTGAGGGCATTGTAGAAATCGTCTTTGGTTTCTTCTGTTGCTGCATTGGTTGGGGCGTAGCACTGCACCATTGAGATTTTCCGGGCTCTGGAGTTGAAACGGGCGTATATGATTCGGTTTGAGATTGGTTTCCAGTCAAGGAGGCTATTTTTCGCCGCATTAGAGAGGAGGAGCCCAACGCCATGCTCACGTACATCTTCCTCGCTCTCTTTGCCTGAATACAGCAAAGTCAAGCCTCTGGTCGTTCTCAGCTCACCGAATCCATTTCTTCTCACTTCGCTTAGTCCGAGTATCTGCAGGTTGTAAGAAAGCATTACTGCTTCTGCTTGGGCTAGTCGGCTGTCCTCACTTAGCGTCCGCACATTCCAAAAAGCAATTCGTGTCCGTAATTTCATGCCAAAAGTAGTCGTTGAAAGATCAGTCCGGTTTGCTTCAGTTTCGGTTTCAGTAATCAAATATTTTCGAGCAAGCAGGTGATTAGCCCACTGTGCCTTAATCCGCTAGCGGGGCTGCCGCTTAAGAGCCTGCGGATATGCTTGGTTTTGTGTCAGGTTTCCTCCCTAGTGAGTCGATTCTGTTTTAAGGCGCAGAATACTCGCCTTGCGCCCTGCATCCGTTAGCTTAGCTGCAACTCAAGGTGGCGGTCGCGCGGCGGCGCGGTTGCAGCAGGTCCCAGGGAGGACGACGGGGACGTGGATGGCACGGACTGGCTAGGGCTCTGCTTTGTACGGTACTCCGCCACGAGTACAGCAGAAGGCATCTTGGCATTTTATAGGTAATGCTGCTCTCACTAACAGCGATTCCCACCAAACCTTACCCTAGCTTCCCCCCCCCCCCTTAGCTTATTTTTATTTACCTTTTTATAATATTAGTATAGATTATTTTCTATTTAACGAAATGAAAATACGTATAACTTTGTACGAAGTAAATTTCTTTTTTGCTTTTCAGTTCGCTGCTTGACGTCGGTTTGTTTGTTAAAAAATATTTTTATGGAGAGATCTAAATTCCCGCAGATTACAATGTGTTAATAATGAAAGCAATTTGCTCTAAAATTGTATGCAAGAGAGATTGTAGCGAACAGTTAAGCGCACCGTAGGACATTAATGTCTCGATACATATTCTCGGTGCATTAGCTAAGCCGACCTTGCGGTCAGCACTCACTTATTGCTACATACCTCCCTGCTACCGGATCAAATTCTGCGGTCCACGTTCCGGAATATCCAACTTGTATTATTATATTAGTTTCCCATATCCACTGCACTATGTTCACGTTTACGTATTGGTAGCTGTGAAATATAGTAATAATAATATGTTCATGATTATGTATTGGCATATGTGAGAGGTAGTGAAAACCGAAAAGATAAAGTAGCTTTGTTTCATGTTATTCAAGTTGAATGCTATAATTTGTTGATAAGATACATGTAGGTAAGAAAGTTGAGTCATACGCAAAATTTTAAATACAATTCTTACTCTAATAAAAATAGTAAGGAATATTCGTAGCTGTTTACTTTTTACATTAAACAGCCTTGATGATACTTACTAACAAAACTCTTATAAGCAAAATCTCTTAAAAGAGTTAACTAAAACCAAAAAAATCAATAAACTTACACCCTTATCCGGGCACAAGGCGCGCCCAACTCACGGTTGGTTCCTTCTTGATCCAATATAAAAACTAAACAGTAACACAAGTGCACGTCGGAAGGTACGCGTTACACCGCAGTTGTCTAAGTGATGTATTGTCGAGTATCTTGTGACGTAGAACCGGACTCACGCCTCACCTCGCGTAACAACTCCCCGTTTTCGCGTACATTTCCCGTTTCCTTGTTAACTACTCAGACCCTTCGGTATTCGCTCCCCTACAATCCCCTTACGTGAGTCGAGGGCCACGTGTTGCTTTTGTGGGGAGATACGCCGAAATTGACTTACCCGGCTTTGGAAGCAAAGGTGACAGCTGAATGACGGCCCTTACATGCCAGGTCAGTGCACAGGTCTGCTTTACAAGTTTATAACCTGCAGCGTTTCTCGTTTAATTAAATAAAGCGTTAATGTTACCTTGTAAAGAATGCAAAATTGCAAGCAACGGCTTTACGGCCTGTTTCAAAGTAATGAATTCATGTTTATACTACAAATACTCCGTTTAAACTGTTTTGTTTTCTTAGAATATTAAGACAAAAAATACATGTTTTTACATAAAGAAGGGGATTACGAACCTTGTTAATGTCACAAATATTTTGAAAGCATCAATTTTTTGCATTATTTATGTCCTTGTTTGTCGTTGAGATAGGCGATAGACATTGGTCGGGTTGAATTGACAATGACCTTACAAGGTGGTGTTGGAAAAAACGTTTTTCGATTGAATTCTTTTTTCAATTCGTGTTTTTTACAATCTTTTCCAACTGAAAAAAAAAATTATGACTTTATCAAAATACCCTTTGTTTATAGTATTATTTTTTGGATTTCAACAGTCTGTGGTTCTAAACACTAAAGTACAAAGAAAATTGAACCCGCAGAGTAATAAAGGTGGCGTCTACAAGATTAAAATCTGAAGGTGCTTACACAGCAATTCTTATATTTATGATTCTGTGGAGAATAAAGGTATGTTTTTTACATTTTTTGAGAACTTGTGACAACAATTGAGATGGCAGTAAGTGGTTTGGGGTCAACACAAGAGTATATTATACAACACGATCAACTTCATTTTAGGTTTAGAATAACCTTCGAAAAAAAATATTTAGTTCGACATTATTAAAAAATTTTCTCCGTCTCCAGGCCGGAACCGCGGTACTTTATTGTGCTTGACCAGCAACCCATATATACATATAATTATATACTTTAAAATACGATAAAAAATTAGCTGAACATTGATATCACATCCTCGATATATTCCAAATACCTGCCATAATTCACTGGTAGACGGTAAAATCCTTCGTATTTCAGTTATTCAACGATCAACACAAAAACGGAATATTCCAGCAAAACTCTCAACATACCCAATGCATTACGAAGCTCGAGTCCAAATCTGCGGCCATATATTATATTGACTAAAGATGATAAAATAAACCCGGCTTTGCACGCCGAATACTATGCTTAAATAAATATTATAAAACAGAATGTCCGGGGACTGGCTGTTCTAGCGAATTCGTGTTTGTTTAGATGTTAATTCATTTTAGCAATATTGCGTAATATCCGTGGTAATATCGAACAGACCCAACTACCCGGGGCTATAGTTTGCATCCCAAATACTTCGAAATATAAACATGCAGTTTCGGTAGGTTACCTGTCCGATCATGTTATATTTTATGAATACACGGTACCAGCATTTCAGCTCGGGATTTCCGTGTATCGAACTTATGATAACTTGACTTGAATATTAATGAAGTAGACCTTACGAATATTTACTCGCCAGACTGAAATAAAAATCCTCACAGTTGAATAAACAATATAAATACATCTCTGATTTGCAACAAACGTCTTTAAGATTTAATAATTAAAGCTGAATTTACTTTTAACTCAACAACATTGCGTTTATAAAGCGAGTGTGTCTAAAGAGCAGATATTAAATTAACACAAATGTAACCTAATATTCCAGCCACTTACGCTAAGTACAGCGTAGAAATATTTAAATTCAGCAAAGCCGAACGCTTGCCAAGACGAGCGGGCGGTCATAACTCGCGGGTAGGGAGGAACCGCGGTCGCCGGTGTGAACACCACCTAATACTGACAGATGGCACAGGTAAATCAAGCGACTAACATTTTTCGCGCGATTAATCTCCTGCACAATTATGTCTCATAATGGTAGGTATCGCTTTTTATGTAAAGAGCACGAGAGGTTAATGAACTTTATCACTTTGTACAGTGTAAAAATAAATTTGTTTTCTTAATCATTGGTTTCGAATAGATCAAACAGATAAGGTGATTCTTAAATACCCATTTTGAACTCGATAAAATAAAGGAAAATAAATCGGTGATGCGTAATTGGCGATCATTGACTGAAATCTCGGTAATTGGAACTGTGCTCAATGCTCATGAATGTGGGTGTACTCTGTAGGTGTATAGTACGTTGGTAGTCTTACTCGGGGCTGACGCCGATGGCAGTTGTATATTTAAGCCGTCTTTTTTTCTACGCTCCCGGCCAAACCGCCTACATTGTTGAATAAAGTAAAAAAATCAGGCCTACGTTACGTCTCCTACTGAAGAATGTGGGTGGATATAGCTGGGAGCACTAGCGTATCCCTTGATTACAATATTAAAGCTCATTGATACACTGAAACATTTACGGACTATCTCTTTATAGTTTCAAAACTTAGACGATTGATATACAGTTACGCAATTTTTGTTTTTATGTATACATATTTAGATTGAACTTTTTATCGGATAAATGCCACACAACCTACACTACTACAACAACACAATACTATGAATAAAAATGAAAACCTTAAAAGCACTGAGATTAAAGATTGGAGTCGATTGATTACGTGAAATTCAAAATTAATCTAAATAAGACACATTACACAATGTGTATAATGTATAGTTTACATCTGTATTCCATTCTACCAGTTGGCTCAACTAACATAAATCAAGCCCAAGGCTCATTAATAGAAACAAATGATCCCTCTTTTATTGATAACAACCTCGAGAACGTTCGTAATTGCTACTTCATTGAGTGCACGTAGCATTGCTACGGGCGTAGCAGCGTAGTGCTACGAATACTACTACACTTCGTAGACATATCAGAAATGTGCAATAAATATTTTGATCATATTTTATTATTTATTTGGTAGGTAATAGGTACAGTAGGTTCTATAGAAGTGAATGGAGTGTGGATCAAGCTTAATAATGTACCAAGGCCCTGGACCAGAGACCCGGGTCTGGATGAGAAGGAACCTCTTGTGCGACCCATTGATAATCTACTCACCTCAAAAAAAGGTTCTATAGATCCATGGGAACAAAAAATAAGGTATCTGAAAATTACACTTCCAAAATCAAATAAGGAATAAAGAATAAAAATGACAAGTTATAAAATAAAAAATCAAGGTGTAAGCAAGAAAATTATAAAATCTTTCTCCTTTAGAAAATACATGGAATAAAATATATGTGTTGTTGAAAACAACGATACGTATAAAGTAGAGTTTCTGAGTTAACAATATTAGCATGTGCACATGACTGTAAATGCTTGCTTGGATGAAGATTAATATAATTGTCGTACCTACCTCATAGCTATTAGTGTAATACAGTTACCCGGTTACGGCTGAGATCATTGAATCAAGTCGGCCGACTGGTCGGCTTCCACTATCGCCTGTTATTGAGATGAGAAGTTATCACTTACTTTGTCACAATTGCCTCGTTCGACCGGTAACTGTAAACTGCTGACTTAGTGATCGTAGGTTTGATAAGGAAAGTTTTAATAGAGGTACAAATTTTAGATGTGTTTGTGTTACGAGGGACTAAACTGTTGATATAGGGGTAAACAAAAATACACGTATTAACATGAATACTAACCATTTTACAAATAAAAACATGTTATGAGTTCTATGTCTCCTTTAACCACACATTATATGTATGTATGTATGTACTCGTAACTGTTAACATTATATCTAATCCCAATATAAATTAGCTCTATCCGGGAAAAAGATCCAAAACTCTTTGCTCAGCACTCGTATTTGTAAGCAGTTAATGAATATTTTGAGATACATAAATATATATAATAACAACTTACACATAATACGTTTTATTAACAAAGAAATTGTGATAGATTACCACACTTCGAGAGAGGAAATAGGTTAACTAAGAAATACACGTTAGCCGGTCTTACATGACACCTCTACTGGGTTAAGCAATTGCCTTGTCCCCGGGGAAACAACGTCGTTCCCCCGACAGCCTGCAGAGGGCAGCACGTGATCATTACCTACTACCCTCTCCTGGGTTTTTTAATTAACCTCACTGGAAATGAGATTGTCTTAATGGTTACTAGTGATTCTGAAAGAGTTTTGTTTGGTGTATTTCTCTACCTCGATACTGTAGTTTATTTCGTTTCGTGAGTGGGGTTAAGCTAGATTGACTTCACGATTGGTACAGCGATTGAGCGATTGATTGTTCTTTATTTGCAAATGTTTGCAAATAGTTTGTAGTTATTGTATGCAGCCCGAAATAATAACGGGATAAGTACACAAGAATTAATAAATCTAGTGTTACATGTATACATGTCGTATTGGAGGATTACTTTACACAAACGACTTAATCAAATTAAATTGTGAATGAATATGTATTGGTGAATGTACATATTTTACATCAGTAAAATTGCTATAACACAAGATAAAACTCATTTACTATACTTCTAACTTATTCGTTTGATTACCTGGTCAGAAAAGGGGTTATTGGGGAACTTAGAATAGCGATAAGCTGGCCTCGTATTACAATCGAACCCAACAAACAGCCGGCAAGGGTTTCGTGATGTGACAGACGATCTCTATCTCCCTATTTAAGTTATATCGGACGCATCGGGGTGTAACATGACGTAAGACGTAAATCTTCGCAGTAAAAGCAGGAAACAAAAGATAAAAAACAAAAAGGACCCGTCAAACCCTCAACTTATATAAGACCGGCGATAAGTGTAAGTTTAAGTTCGAATAAATGCTTTATCACAGGTCCGAATGTTCGAAAAACGAATTCGTTCGAGAAGTTTCCATAAACAAGAAAAAGTTCCAGATAAATCCTCATTCCTCTCACACAACTTTGCACTTGGAATTTCCTGTTCATAACGGCAAAAGGACCACGTTACCATGAAATCGTCCATATTCTTTACTCAAATAGTTTGGCACGTGCAGCTCAAGTGAAAACACCGGCTCGCCGAAGTCGAAGCATCCGACATACTATAAATAAAAATATTAAGTTTGCGGCTTGAATATATTATTATTGCCACTAGTTTCCTGTAGCTTTCCTCCCAAAGGAGCTGCCGCCATAACATATGGTACGCTCCGAAGATAAACTGATAATATTACACATATTTTTTCAGAATTTTCACACAACCAACTTGTGATTTTATTAAAAAGTTCGCTGCTGCTATTGAAATAAATTAATATCTGGGAGTTTATCCGTATTTTTTTCCTGTTTCAGTTGTTTTTAGGATGTTTAATAATGGTATTAACCACTAATGGTAGTTGTTAATAATATTGAAGGAATCTGGAGTTATTTACCTATAATCGGATTACATGGAATAACACGCTAGGCGGCACCGTCGCGCTATTCATAGCGTCTTTATTATTGTGTATTTTTAATTAAGCGCTTCTTTTTCCAAGCTTTATCGTCGTGCCTGCCGCTGTATACAAGCTTAGGAGATTTTGAATAGATTTTAACACATCGGCCGAAGTCCATTTTCCTCCAATAAAAATATTTTTGTTATTTTTCTCTAAGAAATTGTGATATACCTAAAAATCAATTTTGATTTAACGTTGTATCCACGGAAGCCTCGTCGGCAATTAGTTTCGTTTCATTCTCTTATTAATTAATTAATGAAGTTCCCCTGTTTCTATAAAGTAGTAAGTTTGGTGTTTGCTTTCTTTGCGAAGAGCTCTAGTTTCTTTACTTAATGGGAATCGTAAGATTCGTTTACATTTGTTTTAAAGAAGTGTACTTATTATTTGTTACCATCACCCATTATGTTTACTTCATGGTGTAATTTACGACAACAAATCATTTTAACATTGCCCCATACTGGTTTTCTTTATTTCTTGTGTCGTGTACCAACATATACATAGAAGTACACGTAAATCCAAAACAATTGCTTGTGGATTACACAAACAGTTACTTTATTCTGTGCGGGAGTCGAACCAGCAAGACGTTGCACAGCACCCAGTTGTCCAGCCACTGCACATACCATGCAGTCTTGATTGCATTTACAGACCTAAATCTCACTAACAACCAACAAGAATATTAACAGAGCCTCAGCAACATCGAATCAAGTTCAAAAATTTAAAAAGTAATAGGTACAAGGAAAAATATAACGATTAAAAATAACTTAGAAATATAAAGTAATCCCTATTCAAATTACAGGCACCTGAAAAGCTGGCCCTTTTAAAAGTTACAAGTAGAAATTTTAACAGGACTTACACATTACGGGACCATAAAACATTTGGTTATTATAAGAAAGAAAAAAGTAAAAAGGTGGCCGGCTTTTTAAACGCGAATCCATTCCGAATATTAATGGGGCTCTCTTGTGCATGGCTGTATGCTAAGTATAAAAGCCGTCAATAACAGATATCTGTGACCGGAAATATAAGCGAGGTCAAATCCCTGTAGACATGGCTCTAAACTTGAACCGAACTTTCGTCCACAACAAACTACGTACTGCTTACATTCATCTTACAATGATAAAACGAAAGTGAAATATCAAATGTTATTTTTAACGCCGAGATACATGCATTTTACCTCTATTAAACTCTCATTGTTCAAGGTAGCCACCTTGTGAACTAAATCATCATAAACGCATTTTAATAGTAAAATATTAAAATCAAATTAACCAAAATAAATTGTAGCATTCATCATTAAAAATGAATTTTATAAATACTGTTCGACGCTAATGAAAGAAAAGTTCAAAGTCATTCTTTTGAAAAATATTTACATTTATAATAATCACAATTATTCGTTTTTAATGACCCCATTTAATATAAAACCATATAGTGTTTATGACTACATTATCTAAGCTATTTAAATTGATTGTTAACAATATTTCCATGCAAGATAGTATCAAAATAATTGCAATTCAGTTCCTATCGGATTATGTTATTGGCTCCATCATTAGTAGTGCTTACCAACAAAACTAATGGACAATTTATGTTTCATTAAAACATGAACATTAACGAGGGACCATTTTCAATTTCCACCCGTAACCAAAATAATAATGTTAATTAGTATTCAGACTTTTTCAACAGTAAAAACTGCGTACGTCGATAATAAACAATGAATTCGGGCTTATGATCGCACACAAAGCTAGGAAGCAATTGAATAGTCCATCCACGCGTAGCACGTATTTATATTGCAAGCGGTTGAAAGGCTTGGCTTGGCTCCAGTTCGCCTGGGTCGAACATCGCTGTCGGCATCGGCACCGGCTAGCGGTTCGTCTACATGCCTCTAGCGGCTTATTTTATAACTTGTTCCGTCCGTCCGACAGCCAGCCCGTGTCCGCCGGCGTTTTGTTCGTAAAGCAACCGTTCTGCACTACCATTGTCATAAACGTTGAGCTCTGACTACTTACACAAAGATTTTCCCTAATTACATTATTGTAGTATTCTAAAAATGAAGCTGATCATTCTTACATGACTTTGTAATGCAACGCTTATTTATAACATACCTAATCAGGCTACATCTGTCTTAAATGAATTCAGTCATAAATAATAATGCCATTCATCAACGTATTAAATGTGACCGTTAGCTTGAATCGATGAATAAATAAGTGAGCTCGGAAAAATGATATTCAATTGGTACTGTCGCTTATGGAGTTTCAGAAATATGATAGTCGTAAAAGAATGCGATGTGTTCCCGGCTTATTTCCGCGAGTGAATACAGTAAGTAAGGGGCACTCGGGCCGCTCGCTTGCATACGCTTCGGCGAGCGTGCATCGTAGTCTTTGAGCAATTTTATTCAGTCTACAACTCCGCTCCGATACACAGTGTAGCAAGGTGCGCACAAATTAAAAGTTACAACTGCACATTGTCGCCATACAATGCCCAATTTTTACTTATTACTTACTATCTGCCCGTTAAGGTTTTGCTAGCATAAAAAGAAGTTCACAAATGAACTTTGTTTTAATAATTTCCTCAGGCACGTTTCAGCTTCCCTCGCATAAATGCTTTTATTATTCCTTGCCTATACAACTTAATGAGACATTGTGAGCTATGCGAAGATGGAATTTTAACGCGTTAAACGTTTTAGTACAAAATGTGGATGACACATCAGATTACAAATTTAATATTTTATGAGTACATTAAGTAAATAAATATAAAAAACAGATAAATATACACTTTACAAAAAACAAAATAAAATAAACTTCAATTAGCGTAAACTATGCTGGGATCACAGAAACAAATTAAATTCCTCTATTTAAAAAGCGCGCTGTTATTCGTGCTCAACGAAAACCTAGTGACAGGCGGCCGAGGGAGCAAATTGTAAGAATAATTTACCATCGAGGACTAGATCCACACTCTATAAATCCAAAAGGAAAATAAACTTTTCCTCTGCGCACAGAATCGGGACGATTGTCTACTGAGTCTGACATCGAAAATAAAACTATCGCGATTCACGGGTAAAGTGCTATGACCCTTGTGGAATGAAGGAACACTCTGATTTCTAGTCATCGTCGAACCCTCACATTCTGCTTTATGTGGGTTACCTCAAACCCCGTACACAGCTTGATTAGTTACAGTAATTACTCGAAGTAAGAACAGTATATTATGTGCCTGTATTACAAATGAAGTAAATGCATACTCTAGACATTTGTAAGGATCATTCCGTTAAGCTTTAATTGAAATTAATTACGTACATTACTAAAATTAGTATTATTTGGTTTTATTGAAATAGTTAAGTGGCGTAATATTATCTCGAATTCATACTAAGTCGTTTGTTACATAAAACGGCTGTGAAGTTGAAGCCAAGCAGACCGACACATGAGCTAGATCAATAGGTTCCGCTTTCACCTCCCTGCACTTAAGGAGTGCTCTTCTTCGGAACGGCAATATCTCTTTAAGATAAATGTTTTATCACACATAGCGTTTTTAAGCAGCTTCACCCAACATTCTATACTCACTTCTATCAGATTTTTGAGAAGAAGAAAGAGAGATAGAGGAAATGAAGAAGCTTAATGTAGATATTTCAATCTTATAAGAGCAATAAATCGAGTGTACATTTTTATGTCTTTGTTTTATTGATAATTTTATCACCTTCAAATCAAAAGATTGTTAACACAAGCAATTTTCTAGATAAATAATATTACCAGTAGCAAGTTGATTAAAACGCGAAACCTGGTATGCTGTAAAAATGTAGACTTAAAACAGCTGTGACACTAACCATTAAATGTGAAAGAATCGTTCGCCAACAGATTTATAACCTAACTTATTAAACTTCAGTAAGAAACCTTTGTTTATTGGAATAACGTGAGGAGTATTTAAAATTAATACTCTAAAGAAGGTTATTGGTTGCAACTAAATGAGTTAGCGATAGTGGATAGAACGAGTAAGAGAGAAACATATAGATTCCCAACCTTTCAACCATATGTAGTTATATTGTTCCTGTACTTGCTAAGAACTAGAATTTCGGTAGAAACTGTACGGATGAGAAGCACTCATGTAAGCGGAGCTCTGTTGCGGGCTCCAACGAAGTCTAGGTACAGATAACTAGCGCTCCCGCAGTTTTACATCGAATTGATATGCTCAACTAAAGTGATATTCTTACACCACAATACAGCTACTGTATTTGTCTTCATGTATGGTGTCCATAGATTATGATTGACCTTGAGGGTTGCTACTGAGTTGATTGGAGAGGTTCTCGAAAAAGAACACATGCGGAGAATTATTTCGGGCAATCCATTCGCTACATAGTATAAAACAAAGTCGCCTTTTCTGTCTAATCCGCTTCAATATTTAAAACTACGCAGCAGATTTGGATTCGATTTTTTTCATAGATCGAGTGATTAGTTGAAGAGGAAGGTTTATGTTTACCATAACATCCATTGAATAACAAAATTTTGTATCAACATTGCATCCGTGTGACATCGGGGTGAGTCGCTGGTAGTAACGAATGTAAAATTTATTAATTTTAAAAACATATATTTTTAAAATTAATAAATTATTAATTATAAAAACGAATGTAAAATTTATTAATTTTAAAAACATATATTTTTAAAATTAATAAATTTTACATTCGTTTTTATCAGATATAAGAAATAAAACCTACATCTGAGACAGTTTTAGGGTAAATTGTACTTTTCATTGAGATCACTTTATAGGCTAATTTGTACTTACTTAACTATTCCTTTTATTATTACTATTCCCATTTACAAACACCATTGTCCACGTTTTTCCTATTTTTTGCTTAGAATCCTATAAAAATCAATACGTAATATTCAGTCTAGAAATGTAGGACTGCCTCATGATTTACTTAACAAAGGTAGGTCCATAAAACTCACTGAATTTGATCACATTAGTCTACATAGTCCTTTGTTGAAAAATTCGACGAAGATTTTCTCGTCAGGTTAAATAACCAATGTTTGTGACGTAAAGTTTCCATGTGAAGTAACACAGCCTTGGTACCGATAGACATTCCATTACTATATATCATAAATACGCAGATGACAGTTAGAGCTATGTCCTTAAGACCGTCGCCGCCAGTTAAATGTATTTTCCGAGACAGAAATAAATTGTACGTTCAAAAAAGCGGTCATCCATTCAGGACTTGACGTTGCATAACCTTCGCAGATATACGCACATCTATTTCAAGCCAAGCAAAAAGTTACTTAATATTTTTAAGACAGAAAGTCGTATTCTAGATTGAGTTCTTTATTCAAAAGTCCTGGCTCTCGCTAATCACGATTCTGTTCCGCAACTTCTGCCCGTCATATTATCTTAATCTTAATTTTACGGCAGCGAATGTTACGTACATTCCGTAATTATTAAATAAATATTTTGTTTTAATATAATTGCATTTTGATCGCTAAACAATAAGGTTTCTACATTTGTACAGGCTTAACACCAAAACAAAATGTGCGGCTTACACAATAACATAAATGGAATAAATATTGAACCACTCTTATATGTTTAATATTCCGTCTCCAATATCCAGGCAATGGAATGAAAAAATACAATAAATACGAACATTATCGTTTTCATTTCCTTGTCATTTCTTTTTAAATTGAATAGCATCATCCAGCCTCCCGTGCCGGTAACGTAACCGGTACACTGAGTGTCAATACCACTTCTGTTCGTTGGGAAAACTCACATTTACGAACAACTGTTTGATTTCATACATTCGTTTGTTTACACCGCTGCGACCTAACTACGACGCTACGGGCTACGACGTAGCATTGGAGTATAGAATTCATTATAATTAGCAATTTATTTAAATCTCATGCATATACAAGTATATAGTCGTAACTTATGACCTCTACAGATACGCGGGCATATACTTCCCTATACCAATTTCCTCTATCTTCAATGTCGTGAATATTTAATGAGTACTTCCGTGGACACATGCCGGGCGAGAGTTGGCTCTCGCACGAGTGGTAGGCGAAGCGTTGCTGTGATGACATCCGTAGTATAATTAGAGGTGTGTTAGGTTTAACGCGTGCAGACAGGGTGCAAGTGGATGCAGACGAGGCTGGCGTAGAGTGCGTGGCCGGGGCGGGCGGCGCGGGTGAGGGCGCGCAGGTGCAGGTGGGCGGCGGCCGGCGCCCGGCGGCGGCCCCACGTGCCCGGGCGCTCGGCGCTCAGTCGCTAGTGAGCAGCCGTGGCCGCCGTGTCGCCCGCCCGGCCGTCCGCCGCCGCCGCCGCGCCGACAGCGACAGGTGGCGCCGACGCCCGCCGCCTGCGCGCTCCGCTCGCCCGACCCGCTCGCTCGCCTCGCCACCACTATTCACACGGCCGGCTTCAACATCAAACTTAAATATTAAGCTTTGCAATAAATCACTACTGTGCAGTGTTCATTGTTTCATTAAGAAAATGATAATAAATTGGTGGTTGTGTGTTGATCATATATAAAAATGCTTCGGAACTTCGGCCAGTTTTGAAAATACTTTGTTACGTGAAACATTGTAAGTATGAGTGGAAAATATTGACGTTGTTAACAAGTGACCGTTAAATTGATTTTAAGTACTCACGAACCGTAGGCTTCTTAATTAAATATTTGAAACTTTGGAGGATGAGTTAAAGCCTCAAAGGTTTTAAATTTCAATGCACATATAATAGTCAATCTGACTATACAATTTTGAAATCTCTGAAGGTAAGTACTTATCTGAATCTCTTTATTTGTAAAAGCGCTACTTCTTTTGTCCTAAGAACTTCATTTAAATCGTTTATTTTGTCAAGTATGTAGTTGCCGGCTAATAACGGAACTTATTTCAATATAAACGTTAGCTTAAGACAAGCTTCATTCTCATTTTCTTAGCATAATTCGTGTTTCAAGTTTCAGCTCTTTGATATATGAGTTTGGTTGTTAGACAACGAAATCTTTAGTTCAGTAGCAAGATCGGAGTGATTTATTAGCCGGTTATTATTACATAGCGAGTTGCTAGGAGCATTAAAAGGAATGAAAACAAGGATAGCGAGCAATGTAAAGTGAAAACGTCAATAATTGCGTCTAAATGATTGTAGAAGTTTAGTTACGGTTATCCCCCGGAGCGTGGCCCGGAGCTACCTGATACACAATAATTAATTGCTTAAAAGTAGTAAAGGAACAATTTTGAAGCGATTGTGTAAGTACCTTTGTGTGCTCGGCCAGTTTGTACGTGTATTAAAGCCTCCTATTTATATCTTCCTACGCAAATATGCGCGAGCCGTCGCCTGTCTGTTCCACCAATCGTAAATTGGGACGCGAAACATGAAAATCTACTTCAAACTTCAAAAATGTTTATTCTGCTAAGAATCACTGTTACTTGCTAAGTTCAAGTCGCATAGTTATGTCAAAATTTTAGTTCTTTTTAACCTTTGAACTTTAATTTTCATTTTGTTATCAAAATCTTAAAGCTAGTTGTCGCTGATGATAAGCCGAAGACCGCTTGTAGCCCCGCTATGCGTAGAGCACCAAAATTTAGCTCACTCATTTTTAGGTATTTTTATAGCTCGGATTTTTCATTCAACTGATATACCTACCTACCTAATAAAGAATCGCTACTACCATATATTATGAAGTAAGATTACATATGATTTTTTTAGCGTATTTCAAGTTTCTTTTGTCCTCTTATAGCATCGTTATTTAATGTAATATGCGAGTAAAATATCATCATTATAGTTTCATACCCAAAACAGTTTATGGAGGAGAATAGGAAATCTTTTCTCTGTGAATGTTTTAGTAGTAGGTGTGACCTTTGACCGGTTGGAGTAACGGTAGTTAAAATCCCGGACCTCGTGCTTCGGCATCACAATCAAAATCAAAAAGTTTTTAAGTCAATAATAATAACTAGTTTTAAATACATCATCTTCATCGTTAGCCCCTTTCTAATCAGTTGTAGATTTGAGCCCATATAGCTTGTTACTAAGCTTGATTAAAGACACCATTTCATTCTCTTTGATCAATATTCACAAACAGTTATAGCAATCATGGCGTTAGTTAAGATTTACGATTACCAATCTGCTTCTACGAGCATTAAGTTCTTAGATTGAGATGACGCCGGCAATGGCGATCGAGGTTAACAGCCTATAACAAAACATATTATATATATACATATATTTCAACCGTTCATACTGTGAAGTAAACAAAATAATAAACTATGTTTGACCTCTATTAGAATAGGAAATTCGAAAGGATAGATGCCTTATATCATTAAAATGGTTTATAAGTGAATTTATGCTACATTTTTATTAAAATACTCAATGAATTTTTATGTAAGTAGAGACTTAAGGGGACGATTGTACATAGTAATTTATCATAAAGATTATTAATAACGTAAAAATATTATCTTAGTAGGTTATAAAGAAGATTTCAGTTATATTTTGTTTGAAATATTTATCCACGAGTAATATTTTAAATGGAAAGAGATTGTCAAATAGGTACTCTTCAGAATCTTCAGTATCAAACAGTTTAGACTGAAAAATTAATTATTAAGAATGGAATCAGAGACTTACACAGTCAGCTATCCACCTTAAAACATAATATTCATTAAGGCACAAATTCATTGAATACAAAAGCAGATGAATTGAAAAACGCATAATAAAATAACAAGCGTTCCTATTCAGCTCATAGATTATAGCAAGTAAGAAGTTCAGACAATTTCAAACTCTATGAATAGTAATGGATGCATGAAAGGCGCAGTGGAATAGATATCCGTAAGGTGAGCGTTTTTGTACTTTTCACACAGAGCTAGAAAGTCTTACAATGTACTTGTAAAGCTTTTGATAAGTAAACATATAGAACAATCATTACCTACTATTTATTGTTTACATAAACTTATGAACCGCAATTTTATGTATTCTAAAATGTTTTGTTTACTTTATAATACGAGTAATATAGGTGTAATGTTTTATTAATTCGAAGTCAAGAATAAAAAACATATTTTCAGATTAATTTATTACTACTCACTTGCTTAATGTTTAACCACCGCCGTTCTATTTTTATGTGATTAGACAGCAAGTTATTGGATGGATTACTGATCATCGTTCCACATCCACAGCAACAGTCGCATTACGAATGCGATACCAGCCTTTTTGGATAAGGGGTTTAGGTTATTTAGGCATTGGGAAGACATGGGAGAGGGGAAGGATTGAGTTTCTAGTCATTTCACTAACGCTATGGTTCTTTCTCGCCGGTGTTCTGTAAAGCCGTTTTATGTCTCCGGTCGAGCAAGTCCATTCGTGTCGAAGCATGGATATCCCATACTAACTTACTAAACCCACTTAACTATCACTATCTATCTATTAAACTGCCCCATAACTGGTTCTTTATATAAAATTCTGCTATAGGTTGCCTGGAAAAATCAGGATTGCGTGATGAGGCTACTAAAAGTTCTACCTAATATATGTGTAACCCAACAGAATATTTTAAATAATCATTAAATGTTTACGACATGTAATTACGGGGATATTAAAGCGATTCATAATTATTTAAATACCTTGGTGGACTTGACGTATCGACCTGGTTGCACTGGTCGTGGTCGCAAGCAGCCTGCTTGTTTTATTTTTCGCATTACTACATAATTACATACTAAATAATTATACGTTGTAAATACGAAACGCGAAAGTGAATCATTAAAATAATGTCTCTTACAACGTCAATAAATAAGTCTATGTAAGTGATTAATACCAGAAAAAAGTTTGAATTTTAATTCAAGTCCACCATTTTCCTACTGTCCTTATTCAACAAACAGCAACAACTAAAACATTCTCGGTGTAGTTTTGAGCAAAATTGTAAAACGTGATCAGTGAAGTAGAATCAAATGAATGTAATGCCTTGCCTGTCTTATGTGTTTATTTTTTTAATGATTTATGTGTCTTTTTGAGAGGGAGAAATCACCTCGTTACTTCTCCTTTCTTAAGTGGAACAAGGAGTGTCATTCTTACTGACTAAAAGATAGCCTATTATATATATTAAAGATATATACCAGATAAATTGAAACATACAATAGAGTTTTTAAAAGCTATATGGCACATAAGTTTAGCTCATACTCTTGTTTCAACACGGTCACACACATAATATGTACCTGTATTTTCGCTGTGAAACATGTGCTTTATAAACAAAGTTATGAATAAAACACCTTTAAAGTCGTCCTGATCATTATATTTTCACCTTCCTGCGAAAACTGTACACACATGTACATATTTATTACACATATACATTCATCCATATACATTATGGAGGAAAACTCATTTAATTATACATACATTGTATATTATACAACAACATACATACATACATTTTAAAGTATTTCTTAGAAACGATGAAAGGAAATGTATTTAATTACTTTAAGCTTTGTTTCGCATACACGAGCCTATTTATTTTTTACTTATCCTTGTGTACATGAGCGACCAAATTCCTCTTTTGTCATTAAACATCAATGAGCTTATAAATTTCAAAAGGAGCTATGTTAGACACGAAATTCGTAACATCCTGTTTTAACCATTTTACAACATCCCATATAACATGAATATGCGCTATAAACCATAGAAATAGTTTCCGCATCGTTATGGATAATGCGTACAGGATTATAATAAGGAAATATACAGCGGACACTAAAAACAGCAATCACACTTTGTTAGTGAACAAAATTAAAATATAGTTTGCTTTACTGAAATGTTTATTTATGATGACGTTCTGAAATTGCTCCACAACTGGTTATTTATGAGAAATGAGAATAAATAAATGAATAAAATTCTGTCCATTAGTTGTATAGAAGAAAAAACTATGTATAGTGTGACAAGTCCGTCTATTGTACACACTCTGCCATGTATGTATAGGTAACCTACTTTAGTATTTAGAAAAATTTACATTAAATTAACAAAACATACATTCAAGTTGATATGCTGTCCATCCCTACTTATAAGCAAATCGATCAAGACTACTTAGACCTCTTCTTTAAAAAAGGTGTAAAATATTATTATCAATTCGTAAGCACTAAGTATGATCGATGATGAATAACAAATTATTGCCATCATTACATTCCTCGTCTAGTCGATTAGTTGATTAATGCGAACCACGTTTTACTTAAAATATAACATTTTAATACATCCGATCTTTTTTAATTCCCTTAATCTTGGAATTGCTAAGATATCTAGATTTTATAAATGGAAGGCGATTTAATTTACTGTAGAACAGCGATTCGGAACGAAATCAAATTTTCTCACGAATTTATCCAACTCAATCAGTACCATTGTATCTCTGGTATGGTGCTAAAAGAAAGAATTTTCTCATTCACACTTTCCTACAATTATAAGGGTCTTAATGTTTCTCTATTACTTGTTTTTCGTTAGTCTAATTTATTAAGAGAATTGTAGCGTAGGCGTCCTTATAATATCAATGACTGTTGTTTATATTATTTATTCGAATCAAATGTTATGGCTTTCATTGATTTATTAATTTAATGTGTCTGACCTCAATTATTGAAAAATCTATACTAATATTATAAGTTTGTATGTAGGGGGTAAGCTCTGGACCCGCTAGTCGGATTGCCAAAATTCTTTCACTGATAAATAGCTACAATGTTCCTGAGTGCTATAGGCTATAAAACCTCACGGTACGATCAAATGGAGCCGCGGGTGAGACCGCGTCAGAGTAGCTAGTTACTATAGAATAAAACGACAAACTGACAACTGAAAGCATCCTTTCAAAATACAACTACATTAATCATACGTGTATCTACGTATTGCATCGCTTTTTTATATGAACAATACTCATTAAGTAACAGGACTTCTAGCTACGATTTAAAATAAGGCAGACAGTTTTATATTCCGGTAAAAAAATGCCGATAATCTTCTGCAGAGAAATTCTCTTGTCGTCACATAAAAGTCCCATCGATCCTAGTTATCACAGTGAGGCCGACATTACGGATAGTTCGAAGCACTAAAGTTTGGCTGCGGTTTTAAGTAAAAAATCCATATCTCTCTAGTCTTTATAGTAAAACAGAATGTGGTCTACAAGATATCTCAAATTCTCTTAAACCATGTCTACGCTTGTAACAGAAAACAGCTCACACAAATAGTTTAACACAATTTCAAAATGTGTAAAAATAAATATTGGTGCAAAGTACATTCTTATCATTGGTGCAAAACGTATCCTATCTAAATACACGGGGTGTGTAACTAAATCGATTTCGAAATAAATGTTAATTATCTAAATTAACCAGTTAATTACGTGTTAGCTATCATATTCAGTTTCACAACACCACCCTCAGATTTGAAGCCAATAATATCTGTTATGAATGGCGCTGCAATACATTGGATATGTTTTCCAACCCCAAGGAATAATACGTCTGCCATAAATTGGAATCGATGGTTATGAGTTCGTAAGTACGTGACATCTATTGTTGTTTCGCGAGTGTGTTCTCCTCATTCATCACAGTGTCGCCTATTTTATTGTACCATCATATTCCCTTTTCCACCGGAAAAGTTACACAGCGTTTACGTAAAAACACATTATTAAGAATATCTTCGCGTCCTCTTGACGTTCCGCCGTATTTCGTTAAAATATTGCGCGCTGTGTTTAAAAGCATAATTCATATATTTTTTGCCTTTTGTTGCCAGTCTCGTACGGTAAGCCTTGATTAATCCGGCGCTGTGCTTTTAGGCGGTAAAATAATAAAAAATGAGTTGTAGAATCATGTGTGTGTTTTATTTTTGGAGTATTGTGTGAAGTGTGAAGTATTTAAGTATCGTTTAGACATAAGAAACTTTGTCTTTTAATTTTGCTTTGTAAGTTAAAATGGAGGTTCTATATTCTAGTTAAGCTTCACTGCTGTAAATAGCCCGCATCTAAAGTTATCGACACCATCCGCGTTATTTATAAAAGTTCCAACTCCGTGTACTACAAGGACGACGGGGACATTATCTGGCATCCACATAAATATACTCCATCAAATTTGTAAAATATTACCCTCATAAACTTTACCAATATATTTTCTAATGCCTTCCGAATTGTGCATTAGTATTTAACTTAACACTTTTAATTACATTCAAGAGGTTTGTAGTTATATTTATAAACTTCTGCTCTAAGTTTTTCCTTATATTATCGCAATCTTGAAGAGTATTCTCACACGTTATTTTTGTTATTTATTAGGGCTAATCTTTTAGCTCATGCACATAGTAGAGAAACTTTGTCTCTCAATTCAAAAATAAGGAAATGTATGCAATAATTATTACGTATTTACATATAAAAGCTTGACGTTTCCGCATCATCACAAAATAAAGCTCTGTTAGCGAAGCAAATAAATCTGCAATAGAGAAATTCCCCGGATATCATTCGGACGGATGTTTTGGCAAGCATGACCCTTGTCAGGGCCGCCGACTGGCGTCCCGGCTGCCGGCCGCTCGCCGCGCGCCGCCCGCCGTCAATACGCAGATAAAAGCCGCGTGGCGGTGCTCACAGTTGGCGATCTACTATTTCGCATTCCAAATGAACTCGCTGGCCAACCCTGACAAATTAATTGTAGCCAAAGCAGTAAGCATTAAATATGGACCACCTGTTGTGCTGAGAACTTTGTCTTCAGAGATCTCAACAAGCGTTTTAGGCTCATTATAAATCTATCAGTTTATACGGGTAATAAAATAATAGCTATCTTGCTGCTTAAAAATAGTTTTAATGGTTTTTTATTATAATGTACTGGGAATGTGGTACTGGAAAATGTGAATGACAATGTTTTGTATTGTTGCAGATTACAGGGAGGTGTTACAGGCGAGTGGTTGTGGAGGGCGCGTCGCGGACCATGTCGCGGCGATGACGCGGCGCGCAGCGCGCGGCATGCCCTGCTGACATGGCACGCAGCCGCTCCGCCCTCCTTACGCTGGCAGCTATCGCAGCACTCGCCGGTAATGTACACCTTTATGTCCTTTAACCTAATCCTCACGAAAAGGATTTTCACAATTTTCTGAACAAATTTCTACACTGCCTTGTTCGCTGTACAGCGTGGCGCAACATCTTCAACGAAATATTGTAATAGTCAGACATTTGGCTCTGATACAGCTTACAAACCGAATTCTACTAGACTAATCCGTGAAAGGAATAAATTTGTAGCTTTTGGATATGGAAAAATTGCTCATGTTATGGGTTTCATTTGTGGCAAAATGGATACTAAGTCCTTACTTAGATGTATGCAATGCTCGGTCACTCGTCTATTCATTTCATATTTATGCGTTTGTTTATATCCGTATATGATTTGTGTGCCTGAAGATGAAGACGGGCTATATGACTTATGTTCAATGAAGTGGATAATATATTCTGAGAAAGTGTAGTTTCCAAACACGCACTAGGAAAACATTCTGGCAGTGTAACAGATCGTCAATAAACAACTTGGTGTACGTTGGAATAGTTTATTGATGGTAGCTCGGTTTAAAATGTTGCCAAGTGCGTCAAACAAATACAGCTATTAAGGCCATAATTGTTAGATACATTGTTTGCCTGGCAATTCAAACGACGCATGTTTGTTCTATTTTAAATCAACGGGAACTGCAATGGTGTGTAACGAACGAATGTTTATTGTTCTTGGGGATACTGTTATTGGATTACGTTTTGAATGTGGTTTTAGAGAACAAGAATTTATAGTTTGCATTTTAATTAGTTATAGAAACTGGTGTATGCTGTTTATTTATGTGTTGTTGTAGTAAATGCAAAAAGTGTTTTTTGTTAGACAAATATTTTGTTTCATAAAATGCCATAAAGGACTTGGAATTACTAACCACATTCCACAATTTGCATGTAATATTATTATATAACATCGTTCCCGAGTCGGGTGATAATGCCCGCATTCCAAAACACCAAGCGACAGTCGACTGAGGTCACACATAACTTTATAATAAATTGTACTATATTCACTATAAAACTTAGTCGTCCGTCGGCCTGTCGCCTCCAGCCATTTCGAAAGGTCGAAACAAGTCCCTTTGAAACGACCTCTAAAAAAACCTTAAACATTCCCGGCTTTGTGTGACCGATGCATACCCGAATAAAACAAGCATGGTGCCTGTATCGACATATTTTTCTCGTCCATTTCGTATCTGCCACATAAATCGGTGCGTCCGCCGCAAAAATAACAAATTTAATCGCTACATTGTACGTATTACCGAAACAGGGCTCAGCTTTGTTTTGTTCGCTCATAATTTGTGTCACTAAACCTTCACACAGCAGACTCAGATTATGAGGATTATGATTTGCTGCTCACCTCTGACAACGAATAACTCAAATGAATAATTCAAGAGTCGTTCTCGCCCTCTCTCTATGAGCAAATAGAAACATAAGAGGTATATTTGTGCCAGTGCGATAAACGACGTCTATTGAATTGCTTTTGAATGAAAACAATGGAGCGAATGTAGTGCAATAGCGCATCTTGAAAAGCACTGTCATCGCGCATTCTAGCTTCCTTGTCCCTGTCGTCATGTCCCGCAAGCTCATTGTGCCCCGTGCTGGTTGTAGAACGCGTTACATTTTTCATTGGATCAAGATTTTAATAATAATTTATTAACTGATTATATCGAATAGCTCTATCGTGTTTGTACATCAATAGCTATAGAAATCTTTTCTTCAAAGTCATTGAAGGTTACATTCTCGAAACATTAAACTTGTAAGTAAATCTAGCAAAAAATAACATTACTATTTTTCACATAGACATTATATTCTCGACGTTAAAGTGCCAATATTTGCTTTACTTCACCGTTCATATCTAGTGTCATTAACAATATTTTGCTAAAATCATTATACTTTAGCTTGTAATAATGCCTAGTGGCTCTCATAGCGAGGCCAACAAAGCTAATGAATTTGTGTTATCATAATAATATCCTATCAACTTGTGTTATAGAATTTAGACCAGAGACTGTCACGTATATAGTACATAGAGGTGCATATGACGCACCTGTGTTACTGGGAAATTGAGTAGATAATCGTAATTGGACGTCTATAGGTCGGCATCACGTAATCTATCCATTAAGCCTCGGGAAGGTAAACTGTGGTTGCCGTAAATCAGTCAATTCTGGAGAGCGTATAATAGCGGTCTCGTATCTCTCATCGCATTCAGTGGTATAATAGTGATAGAAACAATGCAATGAATTACAATAATACTGCGGTACCCAGGATCAGAATATGTTAGCCATCTTTTCCTGCGGGCGACGTAAAAGTAACTCATGGGACACCTCGTATGACATGGTTTATCGTATCCACAGTTTAACTGCAGCTTCGTATATTCTGATTGTTCTTGGGAACAAAGCGAGTTATTTTAGTTTCCTTTACTGAAATGATTTAACAGAACTTATACTTTTTTGCGTAATTTGTTAGTTGAGTAGCAAATATGACTGTCAAGTAAGAGGTCTTGAGATCGATTGGGGAATTAGGGAATTATTACATGAGAATTAAAATAAAACTAATAAAAAATGCACATTACATTTTAGACGCACAGATCTCCATACCCCGTCGGGGATTATCGAATAGGCGTTATCTAATGTTATGTTACCTTTCAAAGGAAAAAGTGTTCTATTATACTAATATTATAAACCTAAAGAGTTTGTTTGTTTGAACGCGCCATTCAACAAAACTACTAGTTCAAATTGAACAATTATTTTTGTGTTACATAGTCCTTTATCGAGGAAGGCTATAAAACATCACACTACAATAGGAGCCGACTACCGGTGGAACAGCGCGAGAGTAGCTAGACATACATAAATGCACAAGGTCTGATTTTTGTTGATAAATCACTAAAGATAGTTTAATAAAGTTTTATCTAATAAACAGCTTGCATAATAATAAAATATGTGGCTTGTACCTAGTGCCAGTACGTACAATGACATACATATTAATACGCGCACAGAGCTGGAAGATTCAGCCCGTTCTGTAATATAATTCCCTTTCTCGTTTCACACGCCCATGCTCATAATAAAACTGAATGCACTATGAATATTAGTTATTATGATTGTGTTTTATGAATATGGAAATATGGTGCCATGCATTTTAGCGTTAACAGTGTGTTGTTAATTTTATAAGCATTTGGGACACGGTCGGATGAACTGGCAATTTGACTGACAGTAAAATCAGTGCATAAGTATATATCAGTTCATATACGTTATGTTTGCTGCAACGATGTTGTTATTTTTTCTGCAAAATATACACTGCAACGCTCGTCATTGCTACGACGTAGCTGCTACAGTGGCGTCATTGCTACGCATTCCGTAACTGCTACGCGTCATTTGTAGAACATTTTTGTCAGTGCAACGTTTTATGCATTGAATACAGTGAAAAATACTTGGATAATGAACTGGCCAGATGTCAGCGCACCATAACGCATAGAGTAAGGTTACATTTATTTACACGAGGGCGATTCAGACCTGCAATTATCATACACTTTTATCATCACAAGCATAAAATTTTAACCGTGTGATGACTACCAAAAAGTGCCTACGTCAATTGACTGCTGGCGTTATAACGAGCATCATTAAGCGCTTTTCTATGGCGACCAGCTTTTAAGACGTCGTAAACATTTTAGCGCAATGTTGTACAATAAAACTATGTCAATAATAATATCATGCTATAAAAGTACATTTCCTTTTATGTGAACTATTTATATGAAGTTGGGCTACAAACGAGGTTCTATTAGTGTTTGTGCTCGGTCATTATTTGTCTTCGATGTTTACGAGAAATATTTTTTATTTCACTGAATACTTGCGTCGGTATAATAAAAGGGCCTCGCTGATTTTTACTTCTCAAATGTTACGGTTATACGCATGTTTGTCGTTTGTCACCGAGCCGCGCGTTCACGGCATTTTATTCAAAATTGAGGGTAAATCTAAATGAATAAACATATGAAATGGCGATATTTTCTCCGTGACGAGCCAATATGATGTCTACATATTCTGTTATCTCGGGATTTTCTTTACATGTTTCTTTTACCTTTGTAAATATTATGTTCTATTAAATTCATGATCGTATGAAATATCACTGATATCGATTTCATGCCTCTACTTAAACCTACATATATAAAATAGCAAAGGAACTCATCAGCATGGAAATTTATATAACGTTAACGATGTATTAGATAAGTTGATAAATTATATTTGGTGTTAAGTCATTATATTCGTGCCAGTAACTCGCTGTGGCTGACATCTCGCAAGAATCGGAACAAGATTACCTACAACATAATACATTTACTAACGAGAGTGGATAATGAACATAAATCGCATTTAATAATAGGATACCACACAGCTATAAGGCGGCCGCTGTAAAACGGCTCGGATAAAACTAGTGCTTAAACGCTTAGTTTCAAATAACACCAGGCATTGTTGTTCTTAGTTGCGCCATAAATATTTCTTTATACTTTGTTATAGTAGTGCTCGCTTTAAACATACCTTAACTTGTTACACGGTTCAGCAGAACTGAACAAGCTTTACGTGCATGAACATAAAACGTGCACAGCTCTATTTATTCGCGTTGTAAAATTAAATTGATGCCTACTTAGTGGTCGGAAGCGAACAACTAACCAGCGTAACAAGGCACGTGTAATTTTACTGCTTGTTACGTTAATTTACAATCGACATGATACTAATCGCCCGGAGTTGAAACGCCGAGAACTCGACAACTCAATGAAGAAACAGATCTACATAATGTACTTATCGGTACAAACGACCAATTTACTTCAACACAAAACAATGCTCGGACTTCTTACTTAACATTGTTTTCTGCGGGAAACTTTTAACTCTAGGGCATAATCAAATAAAACAACTCCTTGTAGTATTAAGACTAAAAGCATTGGCTTATTTTATGAAGAAAATTGCTAACATAACTGTACGTACAAGTATATATAAGTGCTTGTATATGAAATGTTTGGCCGGCCTTAGAAAGATTGCGCGAGCAAATCGGTTCCGCTCGATAATTCACCAAACTCGGATTGACAACCACCGTAATGTGTTCAAGTTTCCTGTTATGTTCAGTTGCCCTAATAAAACTTTTAGATAAGCTTCATAAATAATAGTTTTAAAGTGTAAGTACAACGGTGTCATTTGGCAAGACTGTGACAATATCGCATCGCCGTCGTAAAGTGGTGTTATCCATGATTGATGATTGTTCTCAGCCATAAGTTCAGCGCAGTAACTTTGTTGGCTGTCAAGAAAAGCAACTGTTGCCGAGTTTAAGAACAAAAAAGTTTTTTGATGCCTTTGACGTATTATATCGATCGATACTGATAATATTTTTTGTAGTATATTAATACGATTCGTCGCAAAAAGTCCTTTGTTTTACAGATATTAATTAAGGCAAGTTTCCAAAGAGCCGCAGTCTAACATAAAATATTTATCTTGTGACAGTTTAATGAATGTTTGCAAGAAAAGCAGTTTCAAGTTTTTACAACGCTCGCCATTATAGCGTCACTAGGTTTTTTTGTAGACGTCCTACCACGATTTATAGTTTTTTGTGAATTCTTGACGAGAACACACAGAGGTCTGTATCGATATTTTAAAAACTAGCTTTTGCTCGCGACTGCCTTCGCGTGGAATAGTGGCTTCCTGCAGATTTTTGGTATAAAAACTGTACTATCTCCCTTTCTCGAGTTCCAAACTATATCTGTACCAAATATCACAGTAGTTTTCAGAATCGGAATTGGTTCAGTAGTTTTAGCGTGAAGAAAAGAAAAAGACAACCTGACAGAACAGACAGACAGACAGTGATCCACAGTCAAACTGTGAATACAGTTTTGTGGAACTATTTTTATTTCAGAAGTCCAATGTAAAAAAATAAAACAGACAGACCTTTCGCATTTATAATATGAGTTTGGATAAAGACTCAAGTACTGCATTTTCACTCCATTATTATAGTCCATTCTAACTTATGTACGAATATACATATATTTATATTGGTACATAAGTTTACATAGTATCAGTTAACCGACTTATTTGTTTAATACTATTTGTGCTTGCAATGCGGAAGCCCGCTTGTCAAACGAGATTTACTTTTTACCAAAAGCTTTTCATAAATTGTGTGTAATTCAAAGCTGTTCACGGATTTTGTACCGATTAAATATTGGTATGTTGTATGTTGAGCTTAATACATGTTGCATACATGCGTATGGAAAACAAATCATTTGTTTGTTTACAAGGATGACAAGCTCATCACATATTTTAGTTGGTATTTATTCCAAATAGGTAGTAGCATAGTAGAATGCTTAAATCTTTGTGCTACGTACCGCTAGGTCTTTGTTGAAGTGGTTAAGTGTCGAATTTCCATGGGTGGTCTTTAATTCCATATTCCTCATCTTATTTATACATTTTTGGTTCATTTGTTTTTGGATTATCATCTTAATGACTACTTTCATTCGTTGTCTTTTTTACATAGGAATCTAGTTTATCGTTTATCACTCTCAAATTTCATTATCGATATCGGCACAACTGAAGTTATTTGTAGACCTACTTTCAAAAATTATTATTTTGTACTGTAATACACTTTGTGGCTAAATATGTGTACACTTTGAGGCTATAGCGTAATTAATTTTACTGCGAAAGTGATTTGGTCCGTGGCTACTAGAAGAACTTATGCCAGTATATTTGGAAACATCTTAGGTAAAGACCCTGTTCCCAGCTCTTAGGTTTTAGAAAAAAAAATAAAAGCCCATGATATAAATATGTACGGATAGAAGAATTGGTAGCCAATTCAACGTATTTTTATATAATATGCATTAGATCATGTACACTGCAACAACTTTAAAACTCTTAATTGTGTGAACTAATTGTTACACTTTGGTTATTTGTCTTTGTTTACGGTTTAAGTGTGACATTGTATGCACAGGGTGTTGTGTGTGCGCTCCGCAAGGGAGTGTGCAGGGCGGCGTACAAGGGGGCGCGCAAGTGCCGCCCGGGGTCCCGCACTCCACCGCGCCTCCGGCCGGAGTCGGAGGCGTACGAAGGTACGATACCATTCACTTATCACATTTATATTTCCCTTTTTTTAATCTTAAAATAAGCACTGGTTACGTATTACACAGATATTTTAGACTTCCCAGTCGCCAGGCAGCACACATACATATAAATTTCAGCAGTATTACAACGGATAACGATGTACATGTGTACGTGTGGAAGTAATGCTATCTTATGAAATTTCTTCTTACAATTCTAACATTCGCCTTCCAACTTATGGTACCCGATTTCGTTCTCTCAAAGATATGCCAATATTGATATAACAGATACGCTCGCTGAATACACATAATGTGATCAGTAGGTACCTATATATTCGCTTTCAAGTATGAGTAATACTGCCATTAGAAACACATCATTCAACTCAAAGTTATTAATGAATAATATGAAATGGTGAGGCCCGGTTGTTAAGGCGCCTGCTTCTTGTACTTGAGGATACGGGTTTGAAACTTACCAACTATCAATGTGAATTTTTCCGAGTTATTTGTACTTACTAAGAATTTACATACATGAGAAAACCTAAACTTAAATTTCCATATTAAAATTTTATTGAAAAGAAATTTGAAGCCGTCAATGCACGTTGAGCAAGCATCGTGATTAATGCCTTCTCCGTGTGAAAGTGCAGTGAGCACTTATAGGCTGATAATGTGTGTGTTTACTACGTACATACGTGTGTATTTAAAGGAAGTCTAACCATCTGTATAGTATGTAACCTAAGCACTAAGTCCTATACTAAAACTCAATATAAATTAAACAAATAAACTAAACTTAAAACTAAGGGTGATTTTAATGTAATATCCAAAGAAGGGGCTCCGAACTCACGACGCGACGTAGTTCGTCAGCCTCTACCGCTAAGCTATTGTCATTTAACCCAACTTTCATATCCCAAGTAGGTTTATGGCATAGTTATACCTGGAAAAGCAATTACGACCTTCATTTGTCATGGAGGAGGTCGGTACAAAGTTCAGTGTAATTGAAATCAGTTTGGGTAACGAGTTGCTGTTAAATAGGTACCTATTACATAAGTATGTATGTATAGGTCTTCCTAAACGTATTCGAAGGCTATTCGTCACACATGTAACAACCTGAGTGCCTAGTACGAGTTCTCTTTGCATTAAAACAATTGAAACGATACCATATTTAGCCTTGATTGGTTGGTCAACTTGGAGTTGGCCAATCAGAGCGCTGAACGCCTTAAGGTGTCAGACTTGAAGTAAAGCAAACTCGCACTAGGCACTCTGAGCACATATTTTGAACTGCGAAATTGAAAATAAACTTATATTTAAGAGCATTATTATATCATAAGGTACGTCCAATATTTGAAACGTGGCTCGTGAATATGAATGCAATATCTACGATTTATTTGAGTTTCGTTCAGAATTCACCATTTCGTATTTGCAGAATCACGAACTAATGACGATGCGGACAGAAAACGAATCAAACTGTTTATTACCCAATTACAATACCCTTTCTAGAAATCGATTAGGCAATTTAGTTCAGTAATGAATCACATAATGCACGTGAAAGTTGGGGAAACCGCAGACGATAGACGTTCTGCCAAAGTTCTGAACTCTCAGATATCTAAGAGAATATACGCTTTTTGATCGACGAAGGGATTGACAAAAGTATTTGTACGTATTTTATTTGTAAAATTATTATTGTTATTGGACAAGTCAATTTGAAATTCGAATTATTTCCATTCCTTTTTTAAACTCTAGCTCTTAATATCCAATACACTCAGTTATCCAAATAAAATGCTTCTAAGTTAACTCAATAGATGGCATATACAGATAATACTATTATCGGATGTCAAAAGTATTGTTGCCAACAAAAAATATGTAGCGATTTTTATCAGTCACCTATGGTCGCCTTAATCTCTTTCTGTATCTCTATACTTTGTAAGTATCGATATAAATACATTTTTAGATACAGTCAGCCAAGTTATTTAGTAAGCTGGTAAGAAAATAAACATTGATTGTGACAGAGACAGTGTAGCCAAGCCATAATATGGTAGATACTTTCGAACTAGCCAAAACAATAATATAGCCGAAATATCAAAAACGTCTATTTAATATGAATTTGGTATGAAATAGCCCGTTGGGACGTGATATTTTTTACATCAATTCAAGTACTTATATTTCACAATGATAAAAAAATAGAAACGAGTATTAGCGAAAACGCAAAATAAATCAATGAGATGTTTTTATTTCTATGGGTTTATAGGTTGTATTTATTTATTATATTTTTTCTATTTTTTGCCGCCAAAACCATTTTAATTATTATCTATTAGGCATATAGTATAATAAATTGTATCTCGAAGGGGCATATATATGTGGGAGCCAAATAGCTTAATAAGCTATCCAACTATCGACCTGATCTATTTAATAAATAGTGTCGTAGTAAAATACCGTTCTGATTGCAAATCGGTTTTCAATAATCCATTCACCCTTCAACTAACACAATGTAAGTATTGTTTACGCAGATAGGTGTACTTACCTAGAATTCAATAAAACTCTGGTCTGCCTGAGGATACCCCAAAGACTCCAGCTCTTCAGCCTTCTGTCGTAAAAGCTGAGAAATAAACGGTTCAATCAAATAACCGGTTATTCAGTCGTTGGTTAAAAGGTTAATTAAGCTCATTGACCGTAACATATACACTACACTTAAAACTGTAGAATTGCTATACCAAATTAGATTTTTTGAGAAATTAAACACGGGCGAAATTAGATTGGGTCGCTAGTAATAAAAATGATGCTTTTTCATTAAACCATCTTTTCTAATCATTAGTCGGATCTGTAGCGAAGAAATAGAAGCTGTTTCTGTGTTTTTATAATTTTATCTACAGGCTAAATAACTTTGGTGACTGTAGAATGTGCATAGTTATTTGGGAAATAGGTTAGAAAATAATAATTGACTTAGTTCTCAGGTAGAAACTATTTTTTAATTAACCTATATTTTCGTTTGTCTCTTTTTTTATTTTATTTTAAAAATCGTTGCTCACACTACGATTTTCTCCATCCAAATGCGAACCAGCAATTTGTGGAACACACAAAGAGTTGTTCCGTACGGGAATCGAACCCTAGTCAGTGCAGTCAAGTGATCTGCAGCTGTCTCTGTATTTTCTTACATGAGTGCTTACAAATAGCTTGGCTGACTGTACATCAATTTACAACCCACACAGCCATAGTTTTGATTCATCCATACACTGTATCATTAATAAGTGAGTGGGCAGTTAACGCCTGTGTGAATTGAACACATTAGCACTAATTTGTCAGCAAACTCAATAGGTGGGAAATAACTAATAATATTACTAAATATTAATTCACAAACTGTGTTCAAATCTTCAGTTATGTTTTAGGTTTCAGGTTAGTTTAGTTCAGTTACACTATAAGACATTTATAGATAAGCATCGTGAAATTCCTTCTAACAATATGTAGACGAGCAATTGTTCCGTCTTATACTTTCATTTACAAAAGTGCACTAGGTCTTCAGTGACAACCCTATTTAGTTAAAGAGATTAACCGCTAGTCTGCCGGTATATGAGACACAATAGGAAACACATTGTGTCTCGCGTATATCTGCGCTCCGGCATACCACGGGTTAATAAATAAGAAATAAATATAGATATATCTAATAGGGAATAAATTAAAGTGTATAATTACAAAATTCGTTACTCAATAAAGCTTAATGCTCAATTTTCGTAATAAATTTGTAACGAGTATAAAGAAACATCAAAAAATATATTACCATAATCCTAACAGCTATACAGAATACCCTAAAACTGGTCCGTAAAACATAATTACACTGTTAATCTTCCAGATTAATTCAAAAATAATTACAGCAATCAAAACTGCAATTCCAATGAAACAGATTAATCCCTCAATGAATTGAGCGCAAGATAATCTTAATGAGCGCCGCCATATTAATAGCGGCTATACAAAAACGTAATTGTACTAGCTAATTAATTCACGAACTCACTACTTCATACTAAAAGTTGTGATGTTTAATGAAATTAAATACATTAAGAGCATGCATGAATACTTAACGAACTTAACTTGTCTAGTCTTCGTGCAGCTCGAGTCTATTCTGACGTGCGGTTAACATTTTAGTGAAGTATACGTATTTTCAATGACAAGACTCCATTCATTTACATTTACAATACATAGACCGCGTTGGGAACCTTCTTGTTCAAAACCCCAAGAAAACTACATACCAATCATTAATGTCTATGGTTTATTAGAAAAAAACTCCTTAAATGCACTGCACACCCTTTGTAGAACCCATTTTTTGTTATTTACACATTTAATAATTAACAACATCATAGTATAGAGAACTGCAAAGTCTTTCAACTTTATATTTTACTTGATCCGTGGTCAAACTTAAAGTTCGTGCTCAATATACTACTAAACTAGACCAACATGGCAGCATTTATACTGAAATATTTATCCAGTCGACCAACTAAAGTTAGGTAAGCAAGAAGTTGAGAGCGATGCACCAATAACTTAAAACTAGTGACAGGGTCTGCATTCGATAGCTTAAAGGCTCTCAAGGGATACTATAAAATAAGCCCGCAACATGAATCTACACAACTAACTGATGCCAGTACACTAAGCTCTATTTATGAGACTAACTTCTCAAGTAGGTACATAGTAAGTACGTATAGATAAGATGAATTCATAGATATATTGGAACTTTTTATTAAAACAACTTTATGTTTCACGAAAATAAGGTTAAGGGTTATGTATACAGCAGGTGTGCTCAAGTATTCTCTTCCCAGTACTTATCTAAAACATGAGTTTGTTTCCGAATCTCGTAAACAAAGTAAGGAATTCGTAAGGAAAATCAAACTACTCTTAAATTCGAATCGGATTCAGACAGTCGTATTCAAATCTTTAGACGAGATAGAAAAGCATCAGAACCATAAGGAAATTTTCCCCCTTTTGCATATTTTAGACGGATGAAAATTAAATTAGTTATTTAAAAGAAAAACTTAATAAACGGCGGCAGTGGGACCCACGAGACTGAGGCCCGTTCACCCTGTTCATTTATTTATTCATTATTGCATTTAATGTTACGCACAAAACTGTCTTGTGAAACGATTGTGACTGTAGCCCAGTCTCGTGGAATAATGTTCAAAAGATACTTTACAAAGACTTTCCATATTTTCTCATCGAACCTTAGAGGTAAACCGTTTCACCGCGGCATCAGTGAAAGGGTATCTATCATATAAGAACATTGTAGTTTACGATAGGTCCGTAGGTACCTCATAAAAGTGCTTTTATGATTCTATCCCCTTTTTCTCTGTCACTGAGTGTCTTAACATCAACTTTATTGTAAATACCTTGTAATATAAGTAAGTGGAAAGATAAAAATATGTAGATAACAAGGACGCCGAAGCCTTAAGTGGCACTGAGCTAAAGTATGTGCTCGCAGATAGATGATAATCGATGAGGTTGTCGAGACATGATGTGAACGGGTCACGTACGCGAGGAGCACGTTCGTGTATCCAACCTCCCCATATGAACCCACTCTCTACATTAGCGTCGAACCCTTGCATTGTTTTATGACTCGATAATGATGACTCTTGTGATATAATTATGCTTTTGTTGTATTTGATGTGTTATGAGACATATACAATGATGTATTTCATATTTTATTATCCGCTACAATACCGGTGCGACGAGATAATGTAAGTCATTTGTTATTTAGAGTGTTTTGAGATAAATTTTTCTTTATAATAAATTAGGGGCAAAGGCAGTGATCATTTTTGTAAGCCATCAATTGTGTCCGATGGATGAAGTTCCGCTGCATGACGATAACATTACATGGTTGACATTTTGCACGTTTAACTCACAAGTAGTTTGTAGGGTGATTGGAGCAGGGACGATTGGCCAACTAATCCTTCTGATGAATAGCAACTTATGGTTACTATATTAGTAGGTATCCTATTTAGTTGATAATGTAACATTCGATTTTATTAAATTCTAACTCAAAAATCACGAGAATGTAGTAGAATCCAAACCAACTATTTCCTGTAAAATAAAATTGTCATTTATTCCTAATAATTCCTAATAACAATAATTAACACTGAATCCTAAATGCTGCGAAATTGAATTGTTTTAATCTGTCATCCGAAAGAATGAACAAAATATTTTCCGGCAATTCAGAATCGACTGCATCATCTACCAGTTCCATAACCCGTTTCCATGATAACCAGCTTGGATTTTTGGATTTTGATACAAAATTTTATTCGCTTTAGTAACTATAGTTTCATAATACCTATTTATCACGGTAGTTACAACTGCATTCGCATGAACCACTTATTTACACTAGGCATCTGCACGAATCGCAACGTAAATATCCTATGGACGGAAAATGGTAACAATTCAATTTCGCTTTTTTGCTACAGTCAGTATAAAAGATTTGTACGAACAGTAAGCTTCAGCATTGAAGGCTTGGCTTTACGCCAATTTTGCGATCAAAGCACCTTCGGCTGCTTTGCTGTCTCATTACGAACAGTGGTGTGACATTTTATTAATGTAGACATATTTAGCATTTTATATATAAGTAATGTTTTAATCTAGGCATTATATAGCTATATGTAGGTAGAGTGCAATGTTCGTTGTACATTGTATTTATTAATGAGAGCTTCATGTTTCGCAGGTTCAGTCAATATTCCAGAGGCAGAGGGTACCGCGACTGGCGCACACGGGGCGACCCCACGCTCATCAACTCACTCTGGCGCAGCCGGCAGCCGCTAGGAATACGCAAGCAGCTCGGTTAGACTCATAGTCCTATACTTTGTGAAGTTTTCTTGTTTCTTCATGTTTTCATTACGAAGTTAAATTAATGTTTGTTGCGTAGGGAACGCCGAGGTATACATAATACTAGCGCTGCTGATCGGCTTCGTGACGGTTGTGGTGGGGTGCTGGCTCTCCGACAACTGCTGGTCGCCGGAGCCGGAGGACGTGCTGGCCGGCGGGTGACCCGTGGCGGCGGGCGCGTGCACGCACGTGTAGCGCCCGCCGTCCGCGGCCGCGGACAGGGACAGCCCGTCCGGCGCGGGCTCGCTGTCGCCGGTGCTGCCGCCGCGCGCGCCCCCGCCGGCCCGGGCGCCCGCCTTCCTGCACGCCGCGACGCACCTCTGCCGCGGTGGCTGTCTCGCTCTCCCATGCGACACGAGACAACAGCCTCCCGTTTTCTGACAGGAGTCATCGCACCACTCCTGCCGGCTGCATGAAAAGACTAATGGGAATCATATTCCTACTATTGCAAACGGTGGAGTGTGCGATCATTAACTCGTGACCAGTTAACTGAACATTTTCTAACGCGCGGTTTCGTATAAGTGGGGTTGTGTAAGTGGAAAGTGTTCGTGACTACTCGTGTAAAATGGTGATACTGTGCAGGTAAAACTTTTGATGAACTCTAAGAGCTTTGATTTCAATTTTTATGTATTAACACGATAGTTACAATGTAAAGACATTATAGGGTAATTTCGATGATGGTACTTGTCGGTGTACTTTGTATCGGTAGCCGAGCGCTCGGGATTAGTGCTAGGAGGTTCATTGTGTATTACTGAATCTTATCGTAGGCTACGCTTCTAGCGGTCGCTCTGATTTCAACTCATCTGACGTAACCTTACCTGGCGGTGGTACAGCTACGTTTTCCATCTGTACCACCCTCCTATTGTTTCTAAAAGTATGTGCCTTGAAACGCTTTCCTCGACTTGACTCGTAGTTTAGAGCGTGTTTTGAACCATTTAGAAGAAATTTCTTCTCTCTGTCTGTACGGACAAGTAATCCCATAAGTGCAATACACATCATGACCGTGCCTTTACCGTTCTATAGACTTTGAGAGGGACGTAATTAACAATAGGTTTTTAAAATACGCTTTCCTCGTTTGAGGATCAACCTACCAACGATTACTTTTGTATTTTTGTAAAATATCCAGCTTGTTTTATTGTTTTGTGGTAATTAAGACGCAGTTAATAGTGTAGAGGAAAGTGACTTAGGACCAAGAAGTCTTAATAAACGTGCGTCAATTGAATATTAATAATCTATTCGGAATTACCATCGCAATAGTATAAGACACAACATTGAGAGACAACGACATGGGTATTTGACTAAAAGTAGAATTTTGATATTTATTTCGCAATGTTTGCATTATTGTTGACAATTACCGCAGAAACCGTCGTCGATACCTGACTGCGTTCTATGCCTATATAGTCTTACCCATACCTTTCTCGCGCATAATTGATGTGAAGTAGTCTAGTGTCAAGCGTGTAGATGAAAACATTTCAAACAGTAAAATAAACAATACTTTAGTAGAATCGAGATAATAAAACACAACGAGTAAGAGAATAATAAAGACATCTAAGAATAGCAAATAAATTTCATGTATTCTGTGTAGCTTTGGACGTGGAAAAGCATGACAACAGAACTCATCCAAGACACGACTATTGTGCGAAGACTGCGCTGTAATTCTTTGCACACGCGGACTTACTCCGGTGTGCTCTCAGTTTTTGTTTACGAGCGTGGCGCAAACTTTTAAATTACGAAATATTACCCATCTTCATTCGTTTCATCTATTTTTCGGTTGCGTAGTTACCTTTTCTATTTAACCTACTATACGTCTTGTACAGCATATATTAGGTACGTAAGATCGAACTTAGATTAGTTAGCCATTAAACCGGTAGATAAACCTTAGACGCTTTTGTGTATTAAATCACTGCAATCCAGTTATTGTAAATATGTAAGCACTAACTTATGTACGTATACAATAAAAATACAAGTCAAATTTAATTAATTATATTATACGAATACCCAGTTTTTAATTAATATAAATTGAAAGTGATACAACTGCTTTTTAAATAGTAATGTTTCCGTCGCTCATGATACGAGCTGTGTTTGTATGTACGTGAGATATAAGTGATGTACATTATACGTTCATAATTAGGTATATATATATATATGTTTCCTCTTAACATAAATTGAGCACAAAATGTACTGTCTAAATGTTGAATTGTGTATGTGTACTTTTCGTTGTAAGCACGGATAAATTATGTAAATACTATTGACAAAGGATGGCATACTTATTAAGAAATACACAGTAACTCAGTTCGTAAAGGCTCTGTGATCTCGTATTTCTTTTCCTAGTTGTGTTATTCATATAGCCTGCTAGTCCCATTCGTGAATATTTAGTCGGACATACATAAGTCAACGTCAACACTATAGTGCCATAAGTAGTTATGTATATTTACGTTGAATTCTCGTGGTAGTGATATTTGTAATTGTAAAACACATAATACATAACTTATGTGTTTAGTATACCCATTAAATTTAAATATTCGTCGTAGAGTTAAGGAACCCGACTGAATAGTCAAAATTTTTAAGCATTATGTAAATTGTAGTTAGGCGGTAGACGGTTCTAGATAAACGTTTTACTCGAATAATTGCGAACCGATAATTAATATACTGAATGAACTTGATTCACTGTTGGCCAGAAATGTTTGCATTCACCTCATCCACACTAAGAACCATTATGGCATTCCCACGCACAAATGGAATAACACAAGAAACCGCCTGTTAAACTGTGACCACGCAGGGCCACGCTTTGCAATCATACGAATGAAATTGTGCACAAAAATTCTTAGAACCGGCCCGGGACAAATATTTTACCGTACCTTTAATATTTGTGCTGTCACGAAATCTACAATTCAACAGGCGGTTTCTTATACATACTTTGTCAAGTCAATGTCCGTGTCATTTTGCTATTTAAACATTTTAATGTACAGTTAGCTAAATGATTTGGTAAGTAGAGAAGAAAATAAAGTTGAATTCTTGGATTGAATGACTCTGTCTCAGAAGACATTCTAAAAAAAATTAATTCGTTTATATTTTATTTCCTGTTTACCAAATTACTTGGCTGACTGTACCATAGATTTTATATTGAATTGTGAATTATAAGTATTATCAAAATCATATTATAATTTGCCAAATGTAAGCGTTTTTTTATGAACTTTATATACATTTTTAATAATAAATTATTAATTAATTAATAAATGCATAGAATTTTAATTCCATTACGATCAAAGTAATAGATCAATAATATTTTTGAAGTATATATAATTCATAATGTTTACTGATAAATAATTATTGGACGGGTATTGTTACTCTAATGACCTCTCAATAATATTATCAATAGCAGTCATTTTAATAAATATACCTACTTAAATTGATTAGACGAGTAAGTAACAATAATGACAATTAAATCCTGTATTGTAAACCATTTTTGTAACAAAGTGTTGTCGAAGTCAAAGCAAAGATTTGTAGCTGCAGACTGGGGTTGCATAGATAAAGAGAAAGACAGTATTTAAAGACATTTCGTCGAACAAAGCACGTAAGAAATGTCAAAATAATGCAACAAACGCGGCCCTTAAACACAATTCTGACGGACAGTAAGCACTTTGATTCCAATCATTTCTTGAAACACTCCGTAGTACAACAATTAACAACATCATGTATACAACCTCAGCCTGCAGTACTAAATGAATATCAATAAATTGAAACTGCAACTTATTTACCAGTTCAAAATGATAGGAACACAGTGTATTTTATAACGACATATGTATGAGTATAATTAAGTACACGACGTTATTACTATATACTTACATCTGGTACATAAGTCACGTTTTATGTGAATATTGTAAATATTCGACGAATCATGCGATTGTTCGGTCATGTTGAAGGTCTGGTGGGCTTGGCTGATTTAGGAATTGAGAGAACTCATACGCTCAATACTTAGTAATTATAATAATAATTGATGTAGGTATTGTCATTATTTGTCACGAATAAATTAAAATAAATGTAAAACTTAATCATAAAAGTGTTTCATTTCAAGTTAATAGAAGGAGAGAGCTGTGAATACAAGTCAGCTTCGTTTGCTTTAAGAAACTCCGGGATGATAGAAGAAAACGTTCGTTAAAGGGACTTTTAGCACGCAAACAGTTTTCATAGAAAATATAGGGCATGGCGCTTTCCGCGCTGCGAGGGGTGACACAGAAAGGCTTTCTCGCTTGACACCCTATACTACGGCTGGGTATGCACTATGCTCATCTGCGTTATTAAAGACTGCTAGAGGTCCTACGTTCATGAGATCGGCGTTCTTAAAATGTATTGTTTTCCAATGATCCGGATATTTAATATTGATATTCAAAATTAATTCAGATAATAATATGTATATAACATATTAATATGTAGCTTTAAAACTACCCGATATATTTTTGCAAAAGGTACAGTTTCAAATGTTAAAAATAATATCGAAAGAAATGTAAATACATGTCAATCAGTTGTTCATCAGATAATTTTAATACTATCAGTAATTAATAGAACGCTCGAGTTGGCTCTATGCGAATTTCGCTCAATTGATATTTTTTTATTCAAAGTGACCCTTTTCGTTATAAAGCAAGTGTCAATTAGAAAAAAAAGGTTAATCAGTTCCAGGGAAATCTTTTTAATTGGTGTTCCATTGTAATTTTCGGCTAAGTAAGTACCTACCTACATTTTTCTAATAATTTCTGGTGAGTCACCAAAGCTACGTTCAAAGAGGGATTGATGAAAGACAAGTCGAAAATAAAGCAGCCATTTTGTGTTAAAGGGCTGTCACAATTTGATACTTTAAAAATCCTTTGTTCTTTCGTTACTATTTTAAGGCTACGTTTGAGCCTCATTCTAATAAATAAAGAATGCTAATAAGACGAGAAATTCATATATCAAAAGCCATAGATGTGAACAATTGTTTAATTATACTGTACGGTTGTCACAGTTGCTGGGCAACCGTGAGAGGACTTAAGTGTGGGAGAGCCATGCTTCGGCACGAATGGGTCGGCTCGACGGGATTGATACCACAGCCTCACAGAAAACCGGTGTGAAACAGCGTTGTTTTTCGCCGAGTGAGTGAGGTTACCGGAAGCCCAATTTTTCCCCTCCTTGTCGGCAACGGCAATGTACTTGTAACTCGATCAACGGCGTGATTACTTACCATAAGGTAATCCGTCTGCTCGTTTGCCGACCTATTACATAAAAATAAACTGGCTGCTGTGAAACTGTCAGTTGTGTCGCGGCCGCGGGTTCGATCCCTGTGCAAATTGTTGTTTAGGTCTGGGTGGCTTGTCTGGTGGTTGCGTATTTTAATTTGTATGTATGTAAAAGCATCGACGACAAAGGAGGAAATCCTAGAGTCCCAACGACAAAAAAATATGCTTTGAATAATTTTAATATACGTAATTAATTCGAGTTTAATTAGGTAACGCGTAGCAATCGCGTCAGCAAACAACATTTTAACGGTAGCGGGTTGGTTTATTGTACTTTCTGCTTCCTGTGGAGAGTCTCGAGTCGATTGCTCTAAACGAAAGAGTCGTTAACGAATGAGAAAGGCTGTCGTCTAAACGAGCTGTTATACTCTTTCATAGGAAAAAACAAGTAAACAGAAAAAAAAGTTACTAAATGTTCCCATAAACTGACTAGTTGTCAATCTCAAGTATCAGAGAGGTCAATCGTTCAACTAGGCAGAATACTTATCTTTAAAAATAAAACGGCATTTCTTACTGGCTAGAGAAGTAAGAACACTAATAAAATCCCCGTACGTACACTGAACTTTATTAATGTGCGTATTACTCAGTAGCACTAGCAAGTAGCGAATTACATTACTCCGACGCCAACGCCGACGTTATGTGCAACACAATTCCAACAAACTCGTGATAATTGGTAAAAAGTTATTCGTCTCTAAGCGGACTGCAATACGAGTCTCGAACTAATACGAGCACAGCTGCTGCAAACTGTAACCTAAAACGTAATACAGTCCTCGACGACATTTGAACTACCTCGCCTCGTCTCGCCTCGCCTCGCTCCTCAGAACAGTTTCTACTTATCATTGTAACGATTACATATGAATACATATCACCAAATTAAAGAATTAATAAAAAAATATTTTGAAATAATTTCCATTTTGTATACGTACGGGAAACTGAAATCGTTTCAGTTTTATTTACCCACGAACGACGAAACATAATTTTAATTAAATACGTGGGATCCGGAGAACCTTTATTTAAAATATTTTTCAATTTAATGTTTACATCGTTACATAGCGTACCCACGTCAATGAAACTTTGTTTCATTTATTCATCGTCGACGAAGTGTTTTACATTTCAACGAGTAAGCTTTATTCGTTTTTCCGAGTTGTCGTTGAACCAGATACAACATCCGACGGAGCGTCGTAGCAATTGACTTAGCGTAGCAATCACGTAGCGTGAACCGTAGCGCGTAGCATTTTATGTAGCTTATTAAGTGTACGGCAATAAGTTCTCTACTGCTCTTTTAACTCTCTTTCAGAGTGTTGCCTAACACAAAATAAGTAATAAATACTTTTCAATCAAATAAAATCGTAATAGAACCGGAATGGCGGGTAAAACATAAAATGAAAATAACCTCTAAACGGCCTATTTCACCTCAGTAATATTGGTTTTGTTAATGATTAAAACCATTTTACTTGTATCAATAATGTTCATGTTTTTGATACAAAACTAATTGTCTAAGGAAACAACATGTTTTGGCTTTTTCCTCATACCAGGTCTTTGTCGTATACAAGGAAAATCTGAATTCCTTTCTAGCATAAACTATTTAAAGGTAAGTTGACACGCTTATATCGCTTATATACCTACCTATAATGTATACATCAATACCTCTTTTGTAATAAACTGAAAATCATACTGCAATGCTGAAAATCATACACAAAATGACAAGAAGTTGGTAAAAAAGGCGGACTGAATGCCAGTCAACCTTTACGTTTCAAAGTACATACTTTAATCAGTTAAGAGTAAAAAACCTCGTTCAATCTAACTCAATGAAAACTTATAACATAAATCTTTTTTAAGGTTTTTGTAAGGGCCTGTTTTACGATCTCTGAACAAATCTCCACACACCAAACAAATGTTAATATAGAACATAATTTGCATTAACAATGTGCCATATAAGTTTGTCTGTTACATCCACGATGTCAAACAGCCCCACATTTTTTTTACAAATTGTGGATCACGCAAAGACTTTTTCCTTTCGGGAATCGAACCCGCGACACCGCGCCTATTGTTTACAATGCACTGTACATGCATTGTTTAGCTCAACGCTATCTTTGAAGTAGTAGGTAGTTTAGAATGAAATAATAATGTCAAACAAATGTTATAGTTCAAAGCGCTTGTTAATACCAGACATTTACACCGATGACATGTTCGACAATGATGCTCTCTTTATAAAGAAAGGTCGTGTATTCTGGTCGCACCGAGGCTATAAACGCGATGGCCCATACACGGGCTATATCCGTCACCCATCACCGAGGGATAACCACAAACATTAGTCCCTTCATATCACAGCTTATAAATAAACTCACACCGAATAATAAATAGCCTCTCTCTTTTTAGATCATTAGTGAGTTTCGATATTTTTCTAGCGACCAAATAAGCTAGAGCACTCTTGTCAAACTAAATTTCAAATATTCATTGCATTTTGTTTTTAAATCTGAATTACTATAATAATATTCGAATAATGAATATTTTAATTAAACGTATTTATTATATAATAATACATATAATAGATATTTAATAAAATAGATATAATATAATATTATAATAAACGTGTTTAATTTAGAATACGTTATTTTTAAATGACAGCAAAAACTATTTGGATGATAATGAACACGCGCAACGTGGTCCGACATTGTGCAATGACCCGACATAAAAACTATATTATATGTCTCTGGTAAAAACAAAAGGATAAAGGTATCAAGTAGGTATATAGTGACTTTGTTCAGGGCTCAGTATCGGATTTTAGAGATTCCATCATCCCGTTCCGTAAGGTGTGATAACAAAGGAAATTCTAAGAAAGCCGTCCAATACACACTTAAATAGATTCCCCTAAAAGTCTCTTCTCTAAACTGAGGTTTTAGATTTCAATTTGTGAGGATTACAAGCCTATTATCATCAGATCTGTCTTCAATATTATACTATACAAACGATTCAATTATTAGATACCATCCATCCATTTTAATTCAATACAAATGTCTACAGAGCTTTAAATTGGGCACATTAAAATAAAAATGTACTGGCTAGACTAGTATTTCTTTTCACTAAGCGACACATAAAGTGGAATATCTTCAAGACGTAAAATAAACAGTAAACATATTTCAGAAAAGTCTGGCGTGGTCTGGCGTTTTCGAACTAAATCCTCCTGGGAGACACTCAAAGTGCTGCATGCTGGCACAACCTCTTGAAATTCGATATTCTAGATAAAAATTTACTTGCAGATTGTGCACAAAGTTTAACAGGCCTTAGGCCTGTCTCTGGTTGTCCTTAAACGTATTTTGTAGACATAGAAATACTTTAGCATCGTTTAGAACTTGAGTGGAGTCGGTGTATTTAGGTATTTACGCTAAAGCGTCTATCTGGCGCTAGGCCAGACATCCAATTGAAATGAGGCTTACTAAGGTGATAAAAGAATTTATGTGAAAATGACGTGGATATTAAATTTGATAGGTTAAATTCGTATTACGTATTCCTGTCCTGTATTTCCTTTGTTCATAAATTTATCTGGATATGCATTCACTGTCCAGGCAGTTTCATCAAAAATAATTATGCAAATAACCTCATCATATCATGTAAGCTGTTATTCCTTATAATATATAATAACTTAATTGTAGCCATATTTCTAAAGAGGACAATCCTATTTGAAAGATACCAGATTTCAGACTGACAGAATAATTGAAAAAGTGAATAATGCATTCTTTGTCCGATCTAGGGATTGAGTGTAGAAGCATGCAGCATAACAATTGTACTTACCGTATTTTTAGCAGAAAAATAGATGAAACTTAAGCTTAGATAATTTAAAAAGATTGTACAAGTATAGTACGGGTAGTACTTCTATATAAAAATAATATAGAAGTGTATAAAGAAAAAAACATTTGTCTAAAAATAGATGACCATTGAGGAAGACTTTTTCTTTATGTAATAGGTCGGCAAACGAGCAGACGGATTACCTGGTGGAAAGCAATCACGAGGAGATACGAGTACCTTGCCGTCAATGAGGGGAAGGATTGGGCCTCCGGTAACCTCACTCACACGGCGAAACACAACGCTGTGGTTGTTTCACGCCAGTTTTCTGTGAGACCATGGTATCACTCCGGTCGAGCCGACCCATTGCTGCTAAAGCATGGCTCTCCTACACTTAATTTTCTGGAGTGGAGACCACGCCTAGGCAAACATAGTTTAGGGTGCCGCAGTAGACGGAAACAGGCTGATGATTATGATGATGATGATGATGATGATAAAAGAAAACTCTTTACTTACCTCCTTACAAGAGTAGATTCAAAATTTCAACTATATTACCAAAATCATCAAAATGTCTACAGCCATTATTGAGAGTAGGATTACAAATATACAGACTAATCTTGCTAAAATCTGAATCGTTTATTCACTTGACGTTGAGATAAACAAGATATTCAAAAGAGATTGAGAAGATACAATTTTATACGAAAACTTTTACCAACAAAAAAGTTTGGGAGAATTGAGCCTTAATAATATCAAATAAACCATACGCTTACTTTATGAATACGGGGAATGATTATACACATTTTACATTGAGACCCTTAAGTATATAATGAGGAGAGGAATGAAAATAACGATGTCATTCCTTAGCCACATAAAACTGGATCTCTAACGACCAAGTCGTTTATAAAAATTAAACGATGAATATAATTTGTGCTTTAATACAAGTATTATGTAAACGTATTTGCTTCAGAAGATTTATAATATTCTCTCCATTTCTTTCGAACAGATTTAAAAGCTGTGGGTTGTGAGTTTTGCTTCATTTTAATGACTAGTATTTTTGTTGGTGGATCAGATTACTGGTCGATATGAGAATGTTGACTTGAGACTGTTGTTTGTGAACGTATGGGAAGTCTACCTTAATCTGTATTTCTCTACTAAATAGTTTCGAAAATAGCCGTCTATTATTGTAACGAACAAAAATTCAATTCTAAAAAAGTTGTCGACATCATTTGTTTTACTAAAATTGCTCATGTCAATGGAATACAAACTGCACAGTTTGACACGGACAACAAAAGTTCAGTTGAATACAATGAAGTATGCACACACTGGACCGATAGCTGTTTGTATACAAACAATCTGCACGATCGCTCCACATACCTCTCAATCAATCCACCTGTGTACTGTAATATATCACGTACCTTTGTGCTAAATAACTGCCGCTCGAACATTCCGCTTAGGTGTTCAATAATGTTTGGAGTACATGCGGACGGTATGCATCCCACGTTCATAAGTTCGGGTTGGAACTTCTCAACTCGCTGTTTGTGCTGTTTTGGTAAATTACGGACTTAATTAGTACCTTTGCTATGTATACGTGTTTGAATCCCCTGAGTGTCAGGTGCAAAATTGTTTCCGCGTTCCACCAACTTTTTCATAACTTCAAAGGTACCGTGCACTAATTTTAACCGACTTTAAAATGCTGTTTACGCGAGGCGAGTAGCTAAAGCTCGTATCTTGGTACGCAAGCTTACCGCACTGGTTCGTGTGTCCCAGGCTTAATGTTGGAGTGAGTTGCAAACCGGTCCAATTAATATGTCCGACTCTCTGAAGTCACACTGCTGCACTGTATTGTGTGACAACCGCACGTCCTCGTTTGACGTTTAGCTCCATTGCATCGTAGATTTGCACTGCGGCATTGAAATCCCTCGTTTACAAGAGCAATCTTTTATCTATCCCACTTTGTCTGATACTCCCTCGTAGCGCGATTAAAAACTACGAAGCAACATGACATCAGCGCAAAGTATTTACCGTACCTACGAAGACTAAGCGGTTAGTTTCAAGCTTTACATTGATTTTACAAAGAATGTCTAATCTGTTTTGAAGCGAGTGACGAAACTTATTAAACGGGCATTATTTCAAAGATTTAGGAATTCCCTAAAGTTTGTTCAAAGTTAATTTTACATCATCGACTTTGATCTTTAAACAATTAAGGTTATGAAAAGGCTGCTGACGATAAATTTGCTTGGTGTAACGGTACCTATCGTAGTCCAATTAAACGAGTAAGTAAAGATTTATATTCTGTTAAATAAAGCTATGAAACTGTCGGAATGTTTAAATGCAGTCTCGATAATTCAGGAACTCGATAAATTTAAATGCAGAAGTAAGATGCATACTTACATTACAATTTGGGAAAACTCACAACAAACATAATTTGCAGCCATAAAGTATGCAGACGACATTGACAAAATCTCTCCTTGTTCTTTGTTTAAGATCTACCGAGCTCTACAATTTAAAGCCTGAGATAAATCAGAAGATTTTCATTTTATATGTTGTAAATTTGTATAAGGACGACGCGAACGCCTTCTCTGCTAAGGACGGGGCAGCTCGCGGTCTGGAAAATTCATTATTCAGCAAAATTGCGAGTGTAACTCATTGGGCAGGCGCCTTCGCTACTATTACCTATATTGCCGGCCATCTGGTTCATAGCGGGTTTGAGGGAAACTTCAATATTTATTTACCACTGAAATACCTAAACACGGCACAAATTGCAATAAATCAAATAAAAATCCCTCTAAAAATGTCAGACATGACTTGAAATATCTATACCGTGGTAAAGCGAGTATAAAAACTTGTAAACCGTGCAGGTACAGGCAAAAATACGGAAGCAGAGATATTTCAGTCACGTCACGAGCACCGATAAATATAGCTGCGGTGCGAACTAATAATTCAGGAAAGTTGTGCGGCAACTACCGCAATTGGAGAGTTTGTCCTCCAAGACGTCTAATGAAACCTGAGAGTAATCAATTGTGATAAATAGACTGCAGAAATTCTAACAGCGATGTCGATAAACGACCGGCAGTTAATCGTGCCCATTTTGCGTTTGAAATGAGCACGTATAAACTGGAATGCACAACAATCCTACGTCCTAATCAACTCGAATGAAACTGCGTAAAGTAGGTCATAGTGATCAGTTATTATCGTTTGGTAGGCAACATTCTGAATATCTGCGTAATACTGAAAATTACGAGGCGTAACAGAGCGATATGTTTTTCGAAGCACGTAAGACAGCCGGAGTGCCATATGTGAGCGAGTGCCATGAATCACGACAAACTCATTACTTTAGCCGCAATAATCTTTTGAAATTGTAAAAAGAAAACAATAAATGTTTTATGATTTCACTTACATTATTAATATGCTGATTACTTCTACTGATCTCCTATTAGCCACGAAAGGGGTCACTTACTTACTATTGCCTACTACTACCACTATTCTATGCTTGTCTCTTGTTTTGTTGTGACATCTTTTTTTTCAAAACTAACATAATATATATTATGGTTTTAATTAACACATTAAACGTTTTAATTCACAAAAATTGCGACATTTAATCGTTCGACATATAAATAAGAAACTCATATACAAAATGTAAATCTGATTCAATTTCCAATATTACATTTACTCTCAGACACTTATAACTAAAATGATATCCAACCCAAAAGGTGTAAAACATACCTCTTACCCTTTGGAAAAAGGTCTAGTATTAAGTTTATGTACTTAAATAAAAACGTGAGCTGAAATACGAACTCCTTTACCTAACATATGTAACTGTCAAGTCAGAACAAGTCGCTTGCTCTGGATATTTTAGTAACTGAGACAGTGTTCTAGGAGTTCGCTTTTACAAATATTCAATAACAAATCTGATTGTAAATGTTAGCGTAAGTGCAAAAACTTGTTTTAATTTGCAACAATGTTAATACTACTTATTTTATGATTGCGAAAACTTGTAAGAATTCACGGTAATTATTACTATTAACTATGAACTGATTTACATTAAATCTGGAACAGAGATTACAGTCAGGAATAACAAATAGGCTAACTTTTTACCCTGATACTGAAAATAGTTAAAGCATTTTCTTCAAATATAAGGTTGCTCGGGTAGTCGCTTGTACATATGTAGCTGTCTAGCCAGAGTTACCAAGTTCGTTTTATAGTACCAATCATCATCATATTTTTCTATTTCCGTAATATTAGTACGATGTCTGTAATTGTTCCCGATGTATGGAAATAGGTTCACCACCCATATATAATACGCGATGATGAAGCGCGGCCGAATAGGAGTAGGAGAAGGAACGGGGTGGTTTTTAGCCAGTGAGAGTCTGACACTCACTCTAACACCACCAGTGCACGAGAAGTAATTAGATGAACTAGGGTTTAGTAAAAAATACGACTTATAAAATTAACTGGTTAAACGAGGTCGTCGCATTTTACATTCTGCATATCTTTCATTCCTCTCCTTCTCTTCCTCGCGTCGGTTTTGTCAGTGCTGAGGGTCGTGACCACCTCGTGGAAGCAGTGTATTGCGTATTACTCTCCGCCATCTATTTCTATCTGCCGCCGAGTGGAAAGCGTCGTGGATTGTAGTGTTAAGAGTGGTGTGAATTTAATCCGTCCAACGTATCGGATTTCTGCCTCTCGGTCTCTTTTCTTCCACTTACCAGTGATAAGTAACTTTTCCAAGTTATCATTGTCTTTTGGCAGAGTATGCAAAAAACTATAGAATCCTGCGGAAGCATATGGAACTGGGTCTTGTCTGGATGTTAAGCTACTGGAAGATCGATACATTGGTTCGGTGTGCCTTCTTCTACAAAGACAAAAACACATGACATATCTTTAAACATAATTCTACAGCTTCCTATTCATATAAATCCTTAAAAACGGCTACATAAGTGCATAGTTTGTTTTAGTTCTCAATGACGTTCATTAACGTAAGTTTTTGAAGTCGAGACAGCGAGAGTAGTCTGCTTCATCGACACTTACATATTCTCCATAATGGAAAAACTTTTGCACAGATAACTAATATTCCTTTTAAACGAATTATTATTAAGTAAATTGATATTTTTATCTCAATTCACATTTACCTACGTTTCTGCTTGAATTAAATATTTTCACTTCGTTGTTTAAGAGACAGAGAGAGATACAAAACCAGATGTGGTTAATGTGATGTTTGCTCTGCACTGCACTCGCAAATTAAACCATTATCCGTTTCACGTATTGTTTCAACCGTGTATATAACAATGAATACCAGGACAATTATTCGATTATACCCACATAATTTTATTCTGAAATCATATGTTTCATTTAAGTAAATGATAAAAAGCCATACTTTTTTACCTTTTTTAAGTTTTCTGTAGGTCTCAAGATAAAAACATCCACTTCTAATCCCAGAAATGGCTTTGAATTCTAGAGAATTACTACAAATATATGTCGTCCGTTTCTCTTGGTGATTACTCAACAAAACTTGTATGAGCGTCCTAAAACATTGCGAGTGTAATTTGACACATAATGGATGTATAGAAAACACTAGAATATAAGTACGCCCTTTATAAATCGAAGACTGATCGTTCGAAAACGAGGAACTGAAATATAAGGCTAAGAACTCACGGAGTGATTTTCGCCCACGTCCGCTGCGGTTGCGGGCCCGCAGCTTCTGTAGAATTCAAATATTTATATAAAATATTAAAGCACATTTCACGACGCGTTTTACGCCCGCGGCGTACGCGGTTGTATGCGGCTCCCGCTGTACCGGCGGGCAACTAGTAGAATCGCGCGGGTCGCGGTCACCCGCAGCCTCGGCGGGTGGCACCCGCGCGCTTTGCGATCGGTTAGTGAGCGACTGCGGGGGCCGGCGGGTCTTCTGTGAAGTAAATATAACGCAATGGCTCGTTTCTGGTGTGTGTCCATGGCGGTCTGGACCTCAACTGATCGTTAACCGCCCGTTTTGCAATCTTGCGATCATCGCCCGCCACGTTTGCGGGCGATGATCGCAACCGCGGCGGCTGTGTAACCGCGCAAATAACCGGTCTCGTGAGTTTGGAAATAAAACCGCAGTTCCGCTATCGCGGCGGGCACGGTTCAAAATCGCTCCGTGAGTTCTTAGGCTAAAAGTGTTTTCACACCGCCTCTAGTGACAAATAATGCGCACTACGGCGTAGCTAACTATGCTACGGCGTAGCAACGGCTACGTTACGTTGGCGTCCGCTTTGTGAGTTACATTTTTTAAGTTTTTATTTCGAAGATTTTTTACTATGGCTGCATTTTGTTCAGTATTAATAAAAAGGAATGGGTTTGCATTCTTTTTCAGTCATGTTTTCTCCTTTTTAAACTTTATTATTAAGAGTCAGGATCGTGCTTTATCAGCTACCTCCTAATTCATTCAGCACAGGATTTTGTACGTGTGGTGTAGATAAATAAAGTTCTTTTACTTTGTTCGTCGCGTCAAGGCTCATCGCTTCGTACGAGCAGTCACGTACTTATTGAGTAGTTACAATCCCCGTCGCTCCGCTAATAAACACATTGTAGCCACAAACTTGTATAACGTCCAAGTTTCATAACGTCTCACCTAAAAATAAACGAGTACTTCATACTTTTTTAGCTTGTGCACGTAACGCTGTTTACGCTTCCTAAGTCTTTTCCACAGAACGATTCATTTTGGCTTTGTAGAGAATCGTACAAATAGCAGTTCTTGTATGACGGAAGCTCGGGTAAAACTAGTTATTAGTGCGGAAAATAAATAAGTATGTGTGTAGCCTTGAGCCCTTTTCGATGCTATTTAATAAACAAAAATATAGCGTTTCTTACTCTTGTATGTTTATAACATTATATTTCCTGTATATTTTATGGTATTCAATAAAGCGTAAAGAAAAGATCTTTTTTTTATTCTGATCAAAAGTATAGATTTAAAATCTTAGGTTTGATAGCAGTAAATATTGTACTACAGTAAAGTTGTTCAAAAACTCGAAACTAAAATCTCACTGCAGAGCGCTCAACGCTCGCATAAAGAAAATTCAAGGAATTTCCGAAAACAAAACTTTACGACCATAGTTTACGGGGAGCCCATCTCTCTTTGCTTATCGAAAAAAAACTGAAACAAAATACCTCATTCATAAGATAAACAATAATAAAATAATATCACTTTTATGCAATATTGTGACCTATTTATTTGAAATATCGTTTAGTTTTGTCTAGCAAGTGACGTCAAACCGTTTAATATACCAACCCAATTATTCATCGATTCATAAACGCATTGACACGAGCTCCACTCAACCAGTTGGCGCCAATCTTACTATGAATTAAACGTCTAACCAGTGAATAGAGCCTAAAGCAGAATTCCTGACAATACGTAAAACGTCACGTGCATACATAATGAACGAAGTGGTTGTATGCACACGCAAGCGGTGCAAATTTCATGAAATTCGCCACGCCGCCCATTTTGGTTCCCGCTCTATATAATACTTTTACGAGTGGACGCTTCTGACAAACCAGCTGCATCCAGACGTTATCGCAATTTTAAAACATGGCCGACAAACGCCTGTACTCTATTCCCCTTTGTGGCTACATTGCATGATAAAAAAACATCGCTGCAGATGTAGATTCTATCTTTTCCAACTCTCTGTTATTAAAAGTTCCTATGTAGCTGATATACAAACTTTATCTATGTATGATTTTTACGATTAATTATTTTTTGCGGATACCCGCAACACCAGACGTCTTGGGGATTAGGGTTCCCGAGATTTAAGGATTGCGTAGGGATGGGGGTAGGGGAGGATTGGGCCTCCGATAACACGTTATTTCACGCCGCTTTTCTGTGTGGCCGTGATATCATTCCGGCTAAACCAGCCCATTCGTACCGGAGCTTGGCTCTCCGACACTTACTAAGGACTACCTAAAACTTATATAAAAATGAAATCTCCAAAAGAATAAATTCAATCGTGCATGTTTGTTGTCAGTGTCGCTGGAAATTGATGTCCAAGTATATACACAAACTTGGTGTGAAAATTCATTCACTGGCTGAAGATACATGAGAATTTAAAATGAGTAAATAAATAAACACTAACACAAGATGACGCTGCGCCACCCATTTTAAATGAATTTTTAACGTCCTGAAGCTGGCTTTGTTTTGCATGTTTTACTGTAGTGTGAAGCTTCCTTTAAGAAAATTAAGATTTATATACTAAATAATGTGCAGAATAAACTGCAGCAGCAGAATATTATGAATAAATACATTTACTAAAGGAAGGATGAAGACATGAAGACAGGTTCACCTTGTTGAACAAAGTGTAGCAATTTACTAAACAAATCCTTACAGCAGGGTCACGGCAACGCGACGGTGGTCGGTCGGCCTTCCTAGCCTATCATTACACAAACTCGCATTATCTCCGCCCGCACGCAATATTGACATTCCCTTTTTTGTGCTCACACCAAAAGCATAATAGGACATCGCGCTTCTCATTAGCTACGCTCATTTTTTGCTCGTACACTTTACGGATTAGTTTCCTTATGTTAACCCGACAAGATAAAATATAAAAGGCTTTCGATTCCTTTGCGCTTGAATATATTACATGTAGGAAGAAAAAATCCAGCGGCACTTAAATTTTTAATAGACAAAAGTAAAATGCGGCAGTAGTAGGTGTGCGTTTGTTTAGTAGAGCGGCAGGTACCCGCAGTTCCGTTCGACGGGCGAGCTATTCGCTCCGGGCCCGATGTGGTGGCCCACGTTTGCATTTTGCATGAGAACCATTGTTTGACCCACTATATTCTCGACACTCCGGGACGTGGTGCGGCGACGTGACGTCCTGCAGACCTCTCAAACAGATTAATTTACTTACCTACTACATCAAGAAGGTGAGCCTGACTTGCTACGCTTTCGCCAACCAACATACATCGAAAGGTCTCTACGTGACTTAATTTACTTTACAAGATATTTTGATTCGTAGGTTTTTCTGTTAATTTAGTTACCTCAATACCAAAGACACTCATCGTGCCTTTCAATTCATTCAATATAAGACATAAATTAAATAAACAAATTCCATTTCATTTAAATATATGAAGTGTTTAATTATAGTCTACTGTAATATGAATGGTATTTAAACAAAAAATACATATCTCAATTTCTCGGAGTTAAACCAAAAGGGTCCAATGCGGGTGCGGAGAGCCGGTGGCCAAAGCCTCTTTTGTACACATCTATGTTCGTAAGTACTGCCGTTAATTACAAAGGAGAGAACTTTATGTTGTCCGTACGTATTTAAAATGTACTCAACTTCATATTAAATGTAAGATTTATTTAGAAAATTGTATTTACAATTTGTTTTAAAACACAGATCCAGACGGAGCGGGATTTAAAGAAGTTGATAAATTGAAATGCAGTCGGTAAGCCGTTCTAGAGTAAACCAAGAGATTTGGCTCAGACAACAGAATACCTATATATTCTAAGACTAGGTACGCAGCCAATGAAAAATTATTAGTAATAATATTTTACTAGCTGTACACATTTCTATCCATTTACAAATGTACGAGTATCTAATGAATCTCTTAGTATTTCTATGACTTCAGAAGGTTAACGACCTCGTAATGTGAAAGAGGATACGTATTTTATATAAATTAATGTTCATAATAAATAACAAAGCACAAAGTGTGTTTAAATCTGTATTATTATATACTTTTATACGTATGTACAAAGTTTCCGTGAAAACGAACATATTTTTTAGATACATTCAACACGTTATTCGTTTAACTTCCTAGTAAATACGATTCAAATTACGTACATAGGAACATCAATTACACAATATATACTCTGAAAAACAAAGCTTAAAAAAGAATAAAGAACAATTCATAGTTATTTTACTTTTAAGAGACGAAATCTAATAATGAAAAAGAAAGAAATAAACTTACGAAATTATGAATACAGCACTGAAGCGGACAGGCAGATAATTTGCAGTATGAAAGAGAATTTTACGTGAATGCTGTATATCTTCATTTGAAGCGCACGAGG